AGTCCGTCGCAAGCCCTAACTGCCTTAGACACCTCACTATCGACGACGGGACCTGCACAGTGCACCGACCTTCCGACATTTCTCGCCATGTGGGTGAAAGGTGAGCCGGTCAAACGCTAAATGGTGCGTTCCTTGACAGACTGTGGACCTCTGGTCCACAATGCCCTTGCTAGGTTCCACCGCGCCGCGCTATTCTTACTGCTCTGCGATGTACCATCTCAAAGTCGATCCTTGTCTATGTTAAGTCTAGCAACTGCACTGGGCCAAACTGGGTAACATCTCCGTCCTAGATCTTATGCCTTTCCCCATCATGGCCATAGCTGTTGCCGGGACTTGGGGAAGGCCGGTTGATGTCTCCACTTGTGCGGACTGTACTCTATGCCTATTTTGGTTGGTCGTGAGAGAGTAGTACCAGACTTATTCCTAGAAACATTTCAAGGACGACAGCTGCAGCAGGAAGAAGAATGGAAGAGTGCGTGGGGCAAGGCTCGTATAGTCGTATACGTCGACCGCAGATACGCAGAATAGAACGTCCATTATGGCAAAAAAGCACGACGAGAGGGGTTGGAATCTTCAAAAGCAGCATAGTCATTGAATGATGATTCTGAAATGATCCATGTGTCAGATTCGTTGTGCAAACGGCCAGTTCGACCGGAAATTCAAAACATCAATCTGCCAGGCGGATAGCTGAGGGAAAAGAGACCCGCAATGTTCAAAACCGTACTCCGTACGGAGTAGACCCGCATGGCACTCAACTTGCCACAGCTCGATCTAATTCCACATGACAACTCTGGTCATGATCGGCATCTTTCAGGGTATCAGGCAGTCATTTACGGATACTGCATCACATTACATTTGCGGTTAGTGGGTTGCAAGTCAGCCTCATCTGAACGGAAAGTCCTAGTAGTATTGATCATATATCATGGAGCATACTAGGCTTCAAAACTGGTAAACTACTAGTAGTACATATTGGGCGTGCCAGAACAACAAACAGTAATGAAATAGCATCGGATTTATAGCCTTTACCTTCTCTTCTCTGGGAAAAAGACTACGATTTCATAGCAATGTGCGCTACGATTGTGTGCTATTATGAATCTCTACGGTCAGGTCCACTTGACCATGATCCGCCGGAAAAAGGGACCATCAGTTGAGATAGCTAGCAGAAAATCCGCTCAGCTCCACATACTAAGACCGGATCTCCATCACCCAGATCCATTTTCAAATATCGACGGGTTTGAGGATCAGACGATGCTCTAGGGAAAGGAACGTGTCAATTTGGTACACCGATTAACTTTCATGGAACGGAATCATGTAATCCAAGGAGTGTGGTACATAGGCAGCTCCCTTGTAAGGTCATGCGCACAAGACCAATTATGCCAGGACCTTCTTACGGCCGATAGATGACAGCACTGTTGGTGTATAGGACGGGGATAATAGGACCTAGTCTCTTCGAAAGGCCCAATTTGGAATTTCACCTGCAATCTAGAGTACAGCAGAAACCGGGAAACAAGGGGTAGAAATTCATACCAATGCAAGTTGGGGCTTAGTTACAGCGCGGTAGATAGATTGATAGTTCAGCAAGAATATTATCTTCAATGAGGCCAAAAAGTGTAGCAACCTTGCCTTTCCAGGGGCTGATGCAGCTTCTCGAGGTGGCTTGAGACTTGAGCTGGCCATTGAAGTCCAATCAATTACAAACATGTTTCTCTATTTTTCACCATTGGTTGTCAGACAAGAACATACCGGTAATACGAAGCAAAATCAATGTTGGAAGATGAAGAATTCTAAAGTTAAGTTACAATAGAAAGTTGGACCTGAACCCGAGAGGTCAGGATCTTATATCCAGTAGATCAGCAGCAGCAGTCTCTAAAAAATCTAAGCAAATCCCAGTTTACGGAGACTCTTGCCATTTTCAAGAGCATACTGGTCTACTGGAAATCAACATTCACTCGGCTGTACTCTGTACGAAGTAGATAGTACGAAAAGCCACGAACACAGCCCCAAAACACCACGCACCGGAGAGCATTACGCTCCGACACGAGGCGCAGAAGGCGGGCAGAGATCGGCCGATTCCAAGAGGACCATCGGATACGACTGCCTCGACACAAAACAATAGAAATTGAGTTAACGCCGGTCGTTTGAGAGAAAAGATGGTGCATTGGAAGAGATTGGGGGCGCAAATGTGGCTCCCCTTTTCCAGCTGGTCAACTAAGAGTAGTACTCCGTACGGAGACTGCTGAGATAGGCGCCCTAGGATATTGCTGTCACGCAAACCCACATGGTGCTTTTGCACCCCTCATTACGGAGTAGGCTAACCCTCCCCTCCCCCTTCAAGGATCATGGAGGGGACGAGCGACCCAAGCTGCCCCTAGCACAGGAGCTAGCGGGGGCGGCGCTGTGGGATCTGTCACTTGGCCCTTGGGAAATGCCGTGAGTGCCGGAGTGGCTGCCACGATGGGAGATCCCAACGGCGGGATATTGCCCAGGGGGATGGCCTGGTTGCTGATCCTCTGGCTTTGGCTGGGTCTCCCGGGTTGCACTGCAGGATCCGCGGGTTTTCTGAGCCTTCCATTTTCCATTTCCATTCCCCCCTGTTAAGTTTGATGCATGTCGCGTGGCTCCGGGTGATTTGCCTCGGAGGGGCGCCCTAGGCGCACCGGGAGTTTGGAAGATGCACCAAGCATGTGATGAGACCTTGACCGGTGAGGTGGGTGCAATTTCACATCCCTGTCAGTCCTGCAAGTCCTGGAATTCCCAGCGATCTCAATGCGTGTCGCCGGAGCGTTCGAGTTGATTTCGTGGCGCTCCGTTCATCTCGCGCTATGCAGACGGGAGTATTGTGGGAACCTTGATCCAAATTACACTTTTTTCTTCTTTTTCTTTTTCTCTCTTTTTTTCTTTTTTTTTCTCATTTCTCTGTCTTCGGGGTTCTAAAAGTTCTGGACTGGGCGACCTTTGATTTGTGGCCCATTTGCAATAATTTGAACTATGGATACGTTCTCTTGGCCCCATCCTCGGCATTGCCCGGCACTCAAGGACACTCAATGGTACTCGAGGTTGTCTTTTTGTTCTTGGTCCAAGCTTAGACCGATAACCATCATCCATGGATGGTACGGAGCTAGTGGTACGGAGATACGGAGTATATTGCTCAGATGTCTACTAGTAACTACTACAAGCTACCTGGGACCCCCCGGGAGGGAGGTGAGTTCAAATTTGTTCAAGATATTCCCTTTTCTCTAATTCCGTACATAATGTAAGTTTTCGATATATTTATAGTCATTAATCGTCAATGGCTGGGTGATATCCTTCCATCTTGGGAAAGAATCTCCCGATAATTGGCAAATCCCTACCCTTCATTGCCAACAGCGGGTCCATTCACCGAATCATTGTTTCTGGCCTTGCAATTCCTTCAGCACCATTCCGACACCCTCAATGACAGTGCCCCATTCTGTTTCATGAACACGGGTCGCAAAGGCATCGATGTCCTCGTCCCGGCCCTTTTGGAAAGGAATCTCCTTGACCAGAATCGGCTTACCCATATCCACCTCGGAAATCACATCGTGAATCATGACGCCAGTCTTATCGATCTTTCCTTCCATCCATGCAGCATGGGCCCGCTCAATTGCATTCTAAACGAATCAATGTCAGAAACCAAGACCACCAAAGAAAGAAAAAAAGCACGCTTAACTCTGGCGGGGCACCAAAAAAAAACACTCGCTTAGGTGTTACTTACCACTCCATTGAATTGACCAGGCAGCGCAGGATGCAAATTGATAATGCGAACATTCGCCTTCTCCAACGGCCCCAGGAACTGCGGGGACAGAATATGCATGAAACCGAGACAGATAACCAATTCCGGCCCGTCAGCCAGAATCAGGCGCGCAAGCTCAGCATCGTATTCCTCCCGCGCAGCCTGAACGCCCTCCGTCGTCGCAGGGTGCTGCTTCTTGTACTTGACGAGATTGTGGTATAGTGTAGGGATGTTGGCCTTTCTAGCACGCTCGAGACCGAAGGCGTCCTTGCGATTCGAGAGTACGCGAACGAGGGTGGTGTTTAGCTGACCCTCTGCGACTTTGTCGATCACAGCTTGAAGGTTGGAGCCATTGCCTGAAATCAGGACTGTGGCACGGATCGGGGCAGACATTGTGTGGATTCGATTGGTTTGTAGGAGGTTTCTTGAAGCGGAGTACGTGTGGCTTGGTGGGATGTCGGTCGCGCGGCCTCGTCGTCGCGGTTCGGAGGGGTTGTAAGATGTTCCGCGATTGCCTTCAAAGCTTCCCCGTAGATTGTGAAGATTGAAACCCGGTGATCGTGTCAATTGGTGAGATCGTAGAATGAAAACGGCGCAAATTGAGGGACAAAAAGTTGAGCCGGTGTCGGTGCTGGAGCTTCGCCGGGGAATATTTTCGCTTACGTGATCGAGGGGCAGCGGGGCAGCGATCTACTACGAGTAGTATGTAGTAGTATGAGATATCTTGAATACTAAAAGTACAGGTACTATTTGTAGAATAACTTGAATAGCCTGGGAACTCGAACATAAACTGTACAACTTGGTTTGATAGACTATGCTGATGATTGTACAGGCCTCTTAGTCACTATATTCACTCTCGCAACTTGAACCTCCACTGGAACAGAGTTGTCCTAGATGAAGATTGATGCCCGGACAAGTACCAGCGCCAACAAGAAGCCATGAGAATACCAGGCCAAGAAAAATCCAGACAAAAGCCAACCGAGACTTGGAAAGATAGCTGTTTTCCAAACAAAGAGAAGGGACAGAAAAACGCGCCATCTCTTGGCCAAGAGAATAAATGGGAGACGCAAAAAGGTATGAAAAGCGCCCAAAAGCGGCGCAACAAAGACAGAATGCCGAGGGGGATATCCATGAAGAAAACTCGTAAAGGCTCTAAACAGACGCTGAATGCTAAAGTTCAATGAGGAGAGAGGTGAAAGCCCAAATGCCAATGTGGTGATTTGACAGCGAGGGTTGAAGACACGGCGCATTAGATGGCCGTGCCTGGGAATGCAGGAGGTGGTTCGGAGGTTGCTGGTTCTTCGCTATTGGAGGTTTCGTGGACACCTTCGCCACGACAGAGAGGGCATGAATTTCGACCCGTAGTCAGCCACTGCCAGTCTGGTTAGCACTCTTGAGGCCCACGGCAAACACCAGGAGGATAGAAGATGTAGGAGCTCACCTGATCAATGCAGTCTCTATGGAAGACGTGTTTACATTTGTTCAGCTCACGAACCTCTTCGGCTACTTCGTAGTCACTCAAGCAGATTAAGCAGCGTTCTCCATCGGAGATCTGAATGACGCCTGCACCATCCACTGACTCTGCGACCAAAGACCCACTGTACTCGACAAGACGGAAAAGGCCACCTGCAGAATTAACATCGTCTTGACTTGCGACGGGAGGCTTGGCGGGACCCAAAAGAGACGACAGAAGAATCATGTCCTCGTATGTAGGGTTCTAAAATTTTCGATGTTAACAAAACCTCACTCAAACGGAGAATGGTTATAGACCTACATCAGTGAAGAGGCTCGGCGTGGTCAGAGCTGGATGGTTCTCGGATAGGTTGGTCCCGACCACATAGATGAGCCAACTTCTACCCCCGCTAGGGGGGAGGCTGGTCAGGCTCAACCACGCCATTGCGACGAACGGACCCGGACCCAAGAGCTCGATGACGGGCGAATTCGGAATCACTTCGTCGTCTTTGGCGAGCGGCGTTCAGTGGAACAGCGTCTTCGGACGGTCCAGCGGGAGGCTGCATGGATTGCCCTTCATGTAAATGAGGTAGAAGCGCAGGTGACAACGCAGAGGCAGACGAAGGTCTGCGGCTTGGGGTTGAAGTTCCAGAGGAGACGGCAGACAAGCCTTGTTCGGCAGGGGTGGAGGGTGGGGGATGAGGCCCGGGAGGGCTTTCGGACATCGCAGATGGAGGGTAAACTGGAGTCGCAGGTTGATGTCCAGCATCAGACATTCGGCGTGAAGGATTAAGACCTGCTTGGCGCAAGAAGTCCGGGACTCTAGGGGATGGGACCCCGGCGAGGCTCCCAGGGCGTGGAGCGGGCATTCTCGGGTGGCCTTCTGTACCTTGTCCTAGATCACCTTGTGCATCCTGAGGCCGTGGAAGGAACGGCAACCCGAGTAGAGCATCGAGACCGGCACCACCGGTGGCTGGTGGCCCTTGATCACTGTTGGCACCGTTGCCAGACGGAACAGATCGAACACCAACTACAACCAGCGTGACAGTTCGTCCCTCGGCTCCTTCTGGTGGTTCGTCAGTATTTACCCCATCGTTCGGAGACCTGCGATTATCCGAGTTCTCTGGGTTTGACCCAAGAGGATTGGAGCCGTTGGGGGAATCTGAATTGGCAAATCGGAAGACTCGCAAGAAATTGACCGGAGGTGTTGGTCGATCATTTGGAGGGTGACTAGGTCCTTCTCCGCCAACCGAAGAAGGTTGTTCTTGGGGGGAGGTAGCATGCTGTAAGCTCTGTATGAAGTTTTCAAGCGAGCCGTCAAGTCCGTCATTGCCTAATGCCTGTATGTTCGGCATAGCAGGGCCTGTAGTACCAGAAAGTTGAGCAGCAATGGCAGCTGCCGCGATTTGTAGGACTCTAGAAAGAGGGGTCTGCTCTTGTTGTCGCAAGGTTCTGGGTGGCCGTGCACGGATGAGGCTAGGGAGTCGACGCACTCCCATGATGCCAGGGTTCGGCTGATCGGAACCGGGCAGGCCTGCAGTCAGAGACGGTGGCTCCATTCCACCCATATCGGGTGACGGTTCCCCAATTGATTCTCTCCAGTCTAAGCGGGTGTCCATTTCATGCGGTAATGGTTCATTAAGATGATGACTTCCTGACAGATGCGGCGGGTATTCATGAGGTGGAGATAACTCAGAGTGTGGCTGGCCAAACATGTGAGATATTGGTGTCGATATCGAATGGCGCACGCGATTGAGACGTGCGCTTCGTCGCCAAGAAGCCCGATTGGGCTCAGGGAGTCGCCGCTCGTTATTGGGGCCATCAGAGGTGCCCGATGAGTCCTCGCGCGAGGGAATGAAGTAAGGCCCTCTAGTAGACCTCCGACGAGTCACTCCTCTTGATCCCAGCGCACTAAAGGGGCTAAAACGACCACTGCTGTGGCCAGTTTCGGACCTCGGGGGTGTTCTCGACACTAGTCCATGGCGGTGTGCAAGACCTTCTGCAGGCGTCTCTTCTTGGCTATTTAGAAGCCCACGAATAACCGAGTTGGGCAGTAATCTAGATCCCAGTCTGGACATGGTAGATTGTCTTCTTACCATCCGAGCAATAGCCGCGGAACGGTAAGCCCGTTCATCGGCATCTTGAAGTTCGGCATTTCCTTCTTCCTCGATACTCCGCATCTGATGTGGACTTCCTCCGGAATAAAGAGTAGGTTGTTGCCAGGTCTCCGTAGATTCGTTCGCTTCATCCAAGCCTGTTTCTTGCCCATTTGAGCGAGACATCCCCGCTCCATTCAAGGATCCGGCCTGCCCGTTCTGCTCAACTGGTTGTCGATTGTTCATATCTTCATTCCTCGCACTATGTTCGCGCTGTACCGAGTGAGGTGTCAAGTAATCCGGGTAGACGATATCAGGGGGATCTCGAGCCGTAGAAGAAGACTGTCCCATAGTAGCAGGTCGCTGATGACAGTAGAGTATGTGCAATGTCAAAGACTGTCGACTGCCATAGGTATTCTTGAGCAACTTATGATGATCGTCGCGTGTCTGTCAGAAGTGTATCCCTTCACCGTTGAGTTATTCCGGTCTGGTGGGGAATTTATTTCGCGTTTCCCGGGCGTAGTTGACGAAATATATGATTCGGAGACGCTCGGCAGGCAGGTCGGAGTCGGACTAGGCGGAGCGAACGATAATAACCGAGGGATCAAAGAGCGTTGAAACAAAGCAACAAGGAATCGGCGAGGCGGTAAAAGGTGAACTTCAATGGACACCAGATATGTGATATGTGCTATGTGAGACAGGTTGACTGTCCAACACGAAATATTGCGACCGGTAAGGTCGACTTGTCTGACAAACCCACGCCCTCACGTATTCAAGATAACCCACCGATGTGAAGGTGATAGAGAGGGTGGGGTTCCGGCGAATTCCGTGACGACGCCCAGGGGACGTGGATCGAACAAACAAGCACCGAGTGAAAGGAGGAAGAGGTGAGAAGAGGAGGAGAAGGAGGAGGGGAGAAGGCGAAACAGGAGGTAAGGGGAAGAGAGTCCAGTCCAACGTGGAAGGATGGGGTTGATAGGATAGCGCGATCGCCGATAAGTGTTGTGTTTGCTGTGTTTGCTTCGAGGGCTTTTTAGCTTCTCGGCAACTTTTTTGGTTTGCGCATTTCAACATCGGACCCTCGCCACTCCACCTCGAATCGAATCGAATCGATCTCTGTGGATTTCTTGGATTTCGCGGTGCTTGATGGAACTCGCCTCCTTCTGAGTATATGGCGCCTGCCGTGTCGGCTTCGTCTTTTGCCTTGCCACTGCCCCGCTGGCTGCAGCCGACAAGTCCTCGAGTTGCCCAATATGATCGTCGCAAACGCAGGAGGCAGACAAATCCATGGAGTGATGGCGAAGATGTCGATGGAGATACCACAGATGCTACAGATGCCACATCCATGAGGGACTCGGTCCCTGCTGGACCGCCCCTCGTTCTCACGCCAAATGAATCACATCAATATCGAATCGCCGGTCTACCCTTTGATCAGGAATTACCACAAGGGCGTTTCCCCATGCCCCACCCAAGAAGGATGGATACAGTAGAGGTAGACTACCGACTCAGCTATCCCATGATCTAGCCACGATGTCGACTCCTCTATACCCTCCTCAATCACCAGCGCATGCAGGTAGCCTTCGACTGCAGCACTTAGCGGCATTGACCACGATCCTACATCGATGTCTGCTCCAAGGGGACTTTACTCGAGCTGGAAGGGCATGGGGGCTTATCATGCGAGAGCAATTCAGAGGAAAGCCGGCAGATGCACGACTGGAAACTCGATGGGGTATTGGTGCTGAGATTCTGCTCCGGCGAGATCAGCAATCAGCCCCGTCAATTGGTCACATTGCGCCTACAGATGCAGCTACCGGTGGCCGAACGCCTCTACCATTTACCCACAAGGGCTTTGCAGAGGCAAAGGAGTACTATGAGCGGCTGATACTGAACCATCCTTACCTGAAAACTAATCCGCATTCAATCTCCGCCTTGCACTTTTACCCTGCCATGTTTGGCTTATGGGTCTACGTCGCGCAAGAGGAAAGTCAGTTTGAAAGGGATAGAATTGATGACGAAGAGTCCGATGAACTTTCCGATGAGGACTTAATAGACGAATATGGGGAAAATCGCGAGTCAAACAGGAAACAGGCACTTGTTGCAAAAGTTCGTGGACAAGAACTGGAACAAGCTCAGCAAATTGCCACTCGCATTGACTCGCTCCTCGGATCGCCTCCATACTCCGATTCCCCGGAAATTCTCGAGCTTCGAGGCATGGTATCGCTCTGGATTGGCGATTTGCTTGCTCTTTCGCTGGTGAAACCCCCTCCCGAATTCCTGGATGAATATGGCTATGATGCAATGGATACGGATGGAACGGATGAACCCTTTGAAGTTAGACGCGAACAAACGCTTGCCATGGAGCAGCGCAAAGTCGAAATACACAAGTCAGAAGAGTTTCTGGAAAAGGCGAGGAAGCGCAGACGGGGCGTCTCGTACAATATGGAACATCTCCATATTGAAAGTCCATCAGCTCCAACATCTCCCTCGCCTTTATATTGAAAGCCAGACTCGATGATGAGATAGACTTAGCTGATATCAGATGTTGGACTAGAGTGGCTTGATGTCAACGCTCCTCCGAAATGATATGTACTAGTAACAATGAATATTTCGAATAATAATAATAAGATAATCAAATACTCCAAGACTCCAACATATACTCGAAAAGAAGAAACCATTAATTTACTGTAGAATACACAAAACTGTAAGCACTGTTTGACTTTCTTTTGCTGCTGCTCGAGGAACCCCTGTTGCACGTGACCACGCGAGATGACCGCGTCGGACAGCCTTGACAAACACGAATTCCTCACCACCTCGACGCCAGGTGGGAGTGGGATTACAGAAGCCCAATCTGTCTTCCCTCATTTCAACCAATACTCCCCAGGCGCAGTAACTTGATTCGCCATGGGAGTGGGCGATTATGTCCACTCCAGAGAAGCTGGGCAGCCTCGTGCCCCCGCCGACTTAGGCCCATTGCAGCGCAAACTACGGGCCGAACAGGCCAAGGTCGGGCTGCCAGCCTCATATTTGGATGCACCGAATTCGAATAACAGTGCTGTGCCGCGGTCTTTCCAGCAATTGAATGCGCCCCCTGACCAAGTTAGGCCAACTACCGAGAACACGCATCCCCAGGATGGAGAGCAAAGAGACCCGTTTGACACCGATGTCGAGGGCGTGGATGATTCGACCATTGCTGGTACCAGTGTTTTTGGCTATGAAGACAGCCCGCAACAACCACAGCCAGTATCAAATGCAATTGTTGGCGAGACAACAACCTCGCCGCGGCCATCTTACTTGCCTCGGCCAGCTCGTGGGCACCGGAACTCCTGGTATGGAGGAGGCCTTGGGCTCGGTGATCAACTTATGAAGAAAGCCGGATTCGATACTGATGATGCTGGAGATACGACCAGCCAAGCAACATCATCTACTGGAGGCGATGACGAGAAGAGCGAAGAGCCCAATACCAAGCCTTTGCCGTGGCAAGCGTCGCATAAGCACCGCTCAACAGAAGAGCCTTTAAGCAAACGCCTTGAAAACTTTTGGTCTGCAAGCAGAAAAACGTCGGCAAAGCCAATGGGTACGGTGACAGTAGAGCCACAACTACAGCCACAATCACCCGGCCGTGAGAACATTGCTCCTGAAACTCAAGCACCAGCACGAAAACTGGGCCACATGCTTCCTCCTACCTCAGCTAGGAAGATTATCTTGCCTCATAGCATGTCAGGAACCGGAACGCCCAGGACAAGAACACGCTTCAGCCCTCCGAAGCAATCACTTTTTGATCGTCTGGATATCTCGCCAACCCGTCATGGTTCCGAGCCGCCTCCCGAAACTGGACGGACTATCAGCATGACGGCTTTCCAGGAACCAGACCATAGCGAAGAAGGGAGCCTTCATGATCTAGATGAAACCATCCGTATTGGCAGCAGCCGAGCTAGCGAGCATTCGGTCCATCCCTTCGATATGACCAACATCAGCGACTTGGACCGCGATGACGATGACGGTGACTTGATGCGCGACCCTTTTCTATCACGCTCTACTGCCCAGCGTGAGCGACGAAACACAGTCATTCGCACAAACAACAAACGCCAACTGGAAGGAGACTATCCCCCGCAAGTCCTCTATCAAAAATCCTTTACCGAGCTACAGGCAGAGCCTTTTGAAAAGGCTCCAACCCCGACGCCTCCTCCTCCAGTGAAATCTCCACCACTGCCTCCTAACCCTGCCCTTCTTGCTGGTATGCAATCGTCCAATGGCGCCGCTTCTCAGCTTCTGGGCCTGTCAGACCAAGATCGCGAAACATACCTGTCTCGTATGTCTGTCGATGAATGGGAGGATTGTGGCGACCAGCTCATTGATCGGTTTAGTCACCTGCTCACTGAGATGAAGCAGTTGCGCCGGGCCCGTCGACGCACGGCTGCAGTGTTCGAGAATGAGGTTCTACGCCGCCATGAGCAGATCGAAAGCCATGATTCAGAGCTCTCGATGAAACTGAACGAAATGAGATCCGGAGGTGTTGAGGTTCTGCGCGGACGAAGCTCATGAGCTGATGAACTTCCTTCTTCTTTTCTTGCCCTTTGTAAGCTTCGCCCTTCTCCCACCTCCTTCTCTGTCCCAATCCTCGTGTCTTTTTGTTTTGTTTCGAGATGCATCACCTACGATATCCATGGAGACCATTGTTCCAAATCCCGATCATGGATCGGGATATTTCATTTCCGGCCATACTCAATACCCTATCCCTAGCACTTCTCAACCTACATTGGTAACTATTAATATTTTTCATTTACGCGAAGAGCATGTTCCATGACGATGTGGTCATTATCCGAAACACATATTGATCTAATAAAGAATGTATGATATGCACAATCGCACAGCCCAATTGCGCAAGCTATGCCATCTAAAATCCACATACAAGATCCCAGTAAAAAACCATCAAACCCCTAAAACACCACGACGGCACATAAATGCAAGAGAGTCGCGCCAAAAGGATGTGAAAACAAGATGATCGCTTGGTGTATAGAATTATCAAGATGCTGAGCCGGCCTTGGAGAGTGCAGCAGCAAGTCGCTTGTAATCCTCCAGTAGAAGAGCAACATCGCCAAGGCGGAGATCACTTGCATTTTGAGTTTCGAGAAATCGTTGAATAGGAGGCTCCACCCTCGCTGACGAGACATGGAGAGAGCTTGCGCCACTATTATTTACCTCCACCGAAGCAGGGGAAGTTTTGACCCGGTTCAATGCTGCAGGGGATACTGACCGGCCAGTAGGAGTCTCGGGTCCAGCACGACCGAACCCCCCTAATCATACCAGGAATATGGTTGAGGGGATTCAGTGTATTGCCAAAATTCCTCATTGATTCCAAGGGGTTGGGACTAGCCGCTGACGATGGCGTTTGGACGTTCTCGTTATAAATAGATTTCTTGCTGCTCGCTTGAGTCCTTGCACTATCGGTGCTGCGGTCTCGAGGTGTTCGGCCACCACTAGCAGTTTCTGCATCTCTAGCAGTGGGACGCAGCTGTGAATTCTGTTCGCTAGAAAGAGCATTGATTGTGGCCACCTCCTCCGGCGTGAGACTCTTGCTCGCGGCAGTTTCGGCAACAAATCGTCGAGCATCGGCTAGTGTCTTTGGCAACATGGTTCCAGTACCCGGTGAACTGGACCCTTGATTTGTTTGGAGCTCTTTGAGACGGCCGAAGAGGAAGTTGAAACTGTTGTCTAAAGACGCGCTAATATTTTTTAGACTTTGGTCGGCCGTGTTTCGAACAGCGTCGTTGGCTGCTTCAAGGACCTTGGTGGGAGGCTGGAAGAGATTACTCAGTCGACGCTGTTGCGGCGTTACAGAAGGGCGAGGTCGAGGTAGAGTAGAAGCTGACTCTTTGACTTCCGGTTTCGCGATCTCAGGCGACGCAGATACTGTGGTGACGGAAGAAGTTGTTGCTTCTTTTGTTGGTCGAAGAGGATCAACTCGCTCTGAAGAAGGAGTTGTAGATATACTGGGTGTCTTGGGTGGTCCTTCTTGTGGTTCATCTGCGCGTAGACTTGACAGTTCAACATCTTCCAGAAAGCTGATCGCGGCTTCAAGATTAGTCAAGCAATAGGCAGTTTCGCCATCGATCTTAGTGGAAGATCTAAAACGCTGAATGAAAAGGAGGTTGCTGATAATATTTATTCCTTCGGGCGGGCATGTAACAAGTGTGTAGATCAAAATGGGCAGAATTTCATCTGCCGATGAAGTAGACGGGAGCAGCTTTGTTAAAGCATCAACAATAGCTTTGTGGGCAGCTGCGAGTTGTTGTAATTTGCCGAGAGGATAGTGCTGGTCATTCATATTTGCAAGACATTCTCGAGCTTGAGCGAGGCAGTCATTTGCTTCTTGCTGTTTCTCATCGGAAATCGTCGACATATCAAGGTCGATACCGAGATCTTTCAAATCGATACCCACTAAGAGCAAAGCCGCGGTTTTTGAACGCAACTTCTCATCCCTGACATCATCCAAGGTAGTTTTGTGCCTCCAGACTTTATCATAAACAAGTTCACACACTCTACGTTCGGCAGCTTCTTCAAGTGCAGCTCGTTTCAGCTCCAGGGCTTTGCGTGCTTTTCGTCTCTCCGCAACCTCTTCCGCAGTCAACATTTGCCGACCAGACCCACCTCGAACATCTTCTTGAGACAGTTTACTCCCAAGCTTCAAGAATGCACCTCCTCGCGGCTTCGACTGTACTTGGGGTGTTGGATCACGGTTGATGCGAGATGCAAGCGCTGAGATATGGGTAGCGATGTGTGACTCCGAACGGCTGTAAAAGACTTGGAATAGTGAGGATATTTTGTCGATTGTGGGAGGCGAGTTATGGACTTTGGCACTAAGAGAGTTGATGAATCTATTGGGGTTAGCTATCACGCATGCGCATTTAGTGAAGGATAGATAGATAGTCTGCGAACGTACCGGTCCGTTAAGCTAACCAGTTCAATGGGAAGCTCTTCGGAAGGATCTTTCAAGCTTCGCGAGAGCACAAAGCCTTCATCTCCCTGCCCATCCCCCTCGCCACTCGACTCAGCAGAGCCTCGTCGCTCGAACACATCGGGGCCTTTTGCTTGCCCCTCGATATCGATCGCTGACGTTAACGGCTGGGCTGTGACGTTTGTTGAGTCGGTCGCTGGGTTCGATCCGGAAGGGTGGGTGACTGTATTCTCCATTCTGGTGAACGAGCGCGTCGAAGTCAAGTGTTGGCCAGGGCCATCGCCAGAGGGGCCAGACATGAGCAAGCTGGGCCTACGAGGCACTAAATCGTAAGTGACTCCGCCAGGTCCAGCTGATAGGCTCACGCAGATCAACGTCCGAGTCCGAGCTCCGCAAGTTGAGACTAGCTGTAGGCAGAAAGACAAAGAAACCCCGCCAAACCATGCAAATCTTTAACAATTTCGCAGAAATCAGCTGCTCGTGATTAGACTCACCCACACGGCCAGAATATTGTAACGCTGCGGAAGCTGTCAAGCTGTCGTCGCGAGTGGACCGTGACGAGCAGCTCCACGTATCCACGTGTACCAAAGGCAACGTCACGGGAACCTTACATAACCGACTTCCATGTTGACAGTTTGCGACAACTGCTGGACTCACTTCTATTCAAATTCGTGGTAAATCTCAGGTCAGCCTAAAGGCTAAAATAAGATAAAAAATTAAATGAGAATTTCCCTTTCGGCATCATGAACGACGAGCTCCAGCAGTCTATCGGTATCCTCCTCAAGTCAATTGCCTTTTATATCGCGGTGCTCGCCTTCAAAAACCTCTACCCGTTCATACATCCCTACTTCCCACCAGCTTTACAGCATCAGTCACAGCGCTCGTAGGCCTAGTAATGGCCCGTGTTGCTCACGTGCCTTATTTAGATGGCTCGTGCATGGATCGAGCGCTCTTGCGGGTGTCACTTGAATTGCCTCTACTTAGATCCTACCTAGTCAGTCATTATTCGCTCTCAAAAACATGATTGCAGGTACTTCGCCTATTTTGATTTCCATTCATATGAAGAATATTGCGAAGCACAGCCTTCTTCTATTCAATGAGAACGTGACGATCTCCTTCGAGAGTATATATTAGTACTATTTCTAACGTGAATTGAATGAACTCGATCAAACTTGAAAGGCTTTATTTTTGTGTTGATGTCATACTATTTTTTTATTTCTTCAAACTTCAAGTTCTGCGACAGAATCTGGGGAATGAATCTCGCCCGTAATGTTTGTAGTATCCATCTCTCTATAGATTCAAAAAAACAGAACCGTATATACCCTCAAGCTCCAAGGTTATAAATGCCCAAGAGAATCCAGAGGCATGAGTGTAAACCGTTACGCTGTAACATCATTAGGAATTACTCCTAGAATGCAGCAGGGCTAGGAAGTGTGGCAGGGGTGTTCTTGCGAGCGCTGCTCTGGATCAAATGCTCGAATGATGCAGCATCATCAACACGAGGGGTAAACGGCTCAAAGTCCCAAAGGTAACCAAGGGTACGCAGAAGCGAGCTAGCCGAGTATGAGACAGTCTTACCCTCGTTGCTCGTACCCTTCTGCTCAACAAATCCCTGGCCAACCCAGGGAGAGATAAGAAGAGTCGGAATACGGCCTCCCAGACGGTTAAATTCATAAGTATACTCTTCTCCATTTGCAGCCTTCTCAGTGTAGGTCAGATCATCGGGGCGGGTTGCAAGAGGAGGAGGGACATGATCGTGGAATCCACCAGTCTCGTCGAAGGTGAGAATGAAAAGAGTCTCCTTCCACTGGGGGCCGGAACGAAGAGATTCATAGACCTTTTTGATGAATGCCTCGCCATCTGAAATCAAACCACTGTCGTGCATAGAAGTAGTTCCAACGCCACAGCACGAAGGGTTCAGGTAGGAAAACTCAGGCAATGCTCCCTTGGCAGCATCGGTGTAGAATTGGGTGATTGGCACAACCTTGTCGCTGTTGTTGCTGGATTTGGTCCAGGAGAACCACTCGGCTTCGGGGCCGGTACCACCAGCCGTATCCCAGTAGTTGAGCCAAGTGTGGTTGGTCTCTCCTAACTGCTGGAAAATCGAGCGCTGGTCGAAGGCATAGGTTCCGAAGCTATCGTCGTTCTTTCCATGGCCACCAGACGTACCGGCAACAAGGGCAAACCGATTGGGGCAGGTAGGCTATGAAAAAAGCCGGGTCAATTTGTGTCCAGGTACAAGACGGACTTTTTTGTTGTTGTGGGTTTGACTTACGCCTGCAATATCGGAGTGCCAGTGGTTGAAAGTCAGATAATTCTTGACCAGGGAGGTCATAACAGGAACTTGATCCTCGGTGTAGTAATTCATGACCTGGTGAGCCAAAACTGATTTGTTGGCAGAAGAGCCATAGTTATGAATCTGTTCGTGGATGAAACCCTTGTTGTTGGGGAGTAACTTTCCCTCCGCAATCAAATCATTGTCCGGGGTCCAGTTACTATAGAACTCCATGGTATTACCAGTGACTGCATGACTGGGGTCATCGGTAACAGAGTCATAATCTCTGGCCTCAGTACAATGATGTCCTTGAGAAGGCTCAGTCACATTGTACGGGTTGCAGAAAGGCCCATTGTTGATGGGGTTCTCTAGGCCCTTGATCGTCTGACCACCAAGCAGGTTGTCAAGCGAGCGGTTTTCCATGCAGAGAACAACGACATTCTTAATCTTGGACTTGAGATTATGGATTGAAGAAGTCGAATGGGCTTGTTGAGGGTTGGAAGGAATGGCTGACGCCGCAGCCGCGAAAGCCAAAAGGCCGACAAGAGCGCTAGCGTGCATTTTGATAATGTGGCGAAATCAGTAGTTTTTGTATATCTCAATATTTGACGCATGAGACGAAATTTCGTCCTTTTTATATCAAGGTACTACTAGTAATATCTGACTCTCAACTTGACCTGGACATGGATAGATACTGCTACTTAGCCCACGTGGGCATCATCGTATTTACCCGGAATAAATATCCAAACGAGCTTCATTTCGATCTTGAACCTTCTTGGTTGTTCACCGAATGCTCCGGACTCCGGACCCAAAGCAAACGCAACTATAACTATCTATCATCTCCAATGGCATGAACTAAAGTGCCCACGAGGGGCTTGATTAAGTATAATAGAATGTCGGAAGTCGGATGTCGGCTACAACTTGAAGCTAAACGCTAGCTCCGGCAAGAAATATGCTCCAGATCACCCCAACAATATACGAGGAGTACTATTAATTGTTAATATCAATTGATGCAAATTCTTAATCAAACGTTAGAAATAATTTTTCTCTGAAAAATCTAAAGTAGTATAGGCCTAAATATCTCTATATTTATCAATTGAAACCTGAAGCTGTTCTAGAGCATCATTTGAATTACCAGGTGAAACAATTATTGAAATCAAGCAATTGCCGAGAAGGACCTGACGGCCCCGGCCGCTACTAAAACGAACTAGGCAGTTGCTTAGCTTTCGTCGCCAGAACTTATGGTAACGTCAGGAACACCTCGTGGCATTTCGACGCACGATGATTGGCTCAACTGGAACATTTAATTTCGACAAAATATTTATCTTCAAATCAAAACACAACATGAAACATGAATTCTTCTACAGACGAGCTGAGGGAGTCACATTAGATTCAGTGGCAGTCTCAATACGAGCCCCGAGGTCCTTGTTCACAAGGGTAAACATCTGGTAAGTGGCTTTGCGCACACGCTCATGGGCACCGCACAGGTGGCCCGAGATGTTCTTCACAAAATTCTCCTGTTGACCAGGCTGACGACCAAGGACCTGCCAGAGGTCGTTAGCCTGCACGTAGTCTTCGCTGGTAACGGGGATTTGTTCGGCAAGAACGGCGCCTGTCCACTTCTCGTGTTCCTGGCTGGCCTTGACAGGCTTGTAGGCCAATGGACGGAACGTGGATGGGTAATTGGGGTTGGCGCCGTAGTTTCCGTGGACGTTCATATACCCATCGCGATGGCTAGGGTTGAATGACTTGAGAGGACAGTTGACAGGGATTTGTTCATAGTTCCCGCCCAGACGATGGCGGTGGGTGTCAGGGTATGAGAATAGACGCGATTGTAGGACAGGGTCGGCGGAGGGCTCGGCACCTGGAACCATATGCGAGGGAGAGAATGCGGCCTGCTCAATCTCGGCGAAGTAGTTCTGCGGGTTCTTGTTTAGGGTGAAGCGGCCGAAACGACGGAGCGGCACCTCACTCTGCGGCCACACCTTCGTCAGATCGAAAACGCTCCAGCGGAATTTCTCTGCCTGTTCTGGGCTGAGGACTTGTACGTAGCAGGTCCAGGATGGGTTCTCGCCTCGCTCAATGGCGTTGAAAAGGTCCTGGGTGTGCCAGTCAGGGTTCTCGGCGGAGAGTTTAGTGGCTTCCTCGTTGGTGAAGGTTTTATTGCCCTGATCGGTTTTGCAGTGAATTTGCACATAGTTGAAGGTGCCGTCGGGCTTGATCCACTTATATGTGTGGCCAGAATAGCCATTCATGTGGCGATACGAGTATGGGGTACCCCGATCACTGAATAGGTGCATCACTTGGTGGACTGCCTCGTGGTGAGTAGAGAGATAGTCCCAGAACATGGTGGCATCCTTGAGGTTGGTCTGAGGGTTTCGCTTCTGAGTATGAATGAAGATGGGGAATTTGGCCGGGTCACGCAGGAAGAAGACTGGAGTGTTGTTGAACACCCAGTCCCAGTTGCCTTCTTCTGTGTAAAACTTGATGGCAAAGCCTCGGGGGTCGCGGGCACTATCCGGGGAACCTTTTTCACCACCAACGGTCGAGAAACGGGTCAACAGCTTTGTCTTCTTTCCAACTCCCTTGAGCATGTCGACAATGGTCTGTATAATGGCATTAGAATCATTGGCCAGGCCACTTGAATAAGAACGTATGAAAATACTAACAATATCGCTAATGTCGTCAGTTACTTCAAACTCGCCGTAGGCGCCGGCACCCTTCGCATGAACCACACGCTCTGGGATTCGTTCACGGTCAAAGTGTGCTAGCAGATCAATCAGGTGGAAATCCTGGAGGAGTAGCGGACCGTTGGCTCCAACACGTTGAGCCGCCTGGGGATCCATGACCTATACAATCTTCGAATTAGCTAGTAGGCCCAAGATGTCTTCGACAAATAAGGTGAATATACAGGGCAGCCATTGGAGGCAGTATAGACCGGAGTCTCGTTGTATCGGTAAGTCTCTGGCAGAAGAAGTTAGAATGAGTTATGCTGAAGAGGAATGATGTTGAAAGTTATAGCCATACCAGGTTCCTCGTCGTGACCCATGGTGATGATGTGTATGTAACTCTTGACTGAACGAGAAAGGAGAATTTTAAGAGCTGCGGGGACCTTATATTAATATCTCAAAGAAATCTATCTAGCGTGGAGTTTGCAAGAAAAAAAAAACATGAAGCTATGGGACCCACTCATGTCAAAAAAAAGACCTCGCTGTGCCACTCGGCCATTTTCAACAGTTCTTTACATCAAGCTGTCGCGGAAAAGTCATATTCATTTCAATTATCTTCGCCTAAATATCTGACATGCAGTGATATTATCCAGCGATATTACATAGAAACAAAGGTCGATTAATCTATCATAACCCGGTGGAACAGCTCGGAATAGCTCAAATCAACGGCCAATCAGAAACGTGTGGATGTCAGCCGCCCCGCGGCGTTTCAGCAATGAAAATCAGACCATATTGTGGCAGAGGCTGTGAAAATAACCAGGGAGCTGATTTATCCAGTTGAGAGTTGGTGCTGCCTGAACCGCTGGATGTAGTAATCAGAAGCTACGACGGTTGTTGCGATCAGCTCGTTTCGGGAAGGCCAAGACACAAGCTATTCGAATTGAGCAGGTCGATCCGAGGATCATCCGATAAGATCGTCGAAGATTCTTTGAGGTCAAGGCTTTTCAATGATTAGTTATTCTTCTTACAAGCTTTTAGTGTGGACAGTGGCCTAATTGAAGGTTTGTTTTAAGGGATCGAACTTTTCAAGCACTTTAGAATGTGATGTCTCGACTAACGAAGATTATGAATGTGCACCGGAGAATTGGTATATCTTGGTCCGAGGGGCTGCTAAATGGACCACCCTTTTTGCCAAATGAACCATATGTCCTTCTGAATCCAAATTAGTATGTAATCTCCATACAACTTTGGATATACTTAATTTACCTCCATAGTGCTGCAAAGTTTTCTAGTCCCTTGTTGACCTCTCTAGCCTATGGTAAACTAGTACCTACCTGAGATGGATTAGAGTAGCTAATATATTCTATCCTGGGTAGGTAATAGTCTGCTATTAGAAGACAGTAACTAATGGTAGACAATAGGCAGTTAGGAACTTTTGCAGTGCTACTTAAGCCGGTTATTGGCGATCAGATAGGGAAGCAAGACAAAGGTAAAATCCAACTCTCATTGCGAGAATAGATACGAAACAACCCAGAAACGAAATCAAGCCATTTGATTTTGAACCTTGAGTAATACTCAAGTCTAGCCAGAGCAATGTTTAGTATGATTGTCGTCGAAAGAAGCTTTTTTCTCATACTTCACTGATCCCCAGTCTTTTTTCCTTCTCCCGCGCCTGTGCGCTGTGCTTCGGGATAGGTACCAACAGCCTTGTTAACAGACTGACCTAGGCCCTTAGCCGCATTTCCAAGTCCCTCAGTAGCACCGCCCACGGTTTGTCCAAGACCCTGAGTTGCGCCCCCTGTAGCGCCGCCTAGACCACTAAGTGTATTCCCCACTGTGTTTGCAGCGCCGCTGGCTGTCTTTCCGACAGCCTCGCCGAGACCGCCGAAAAAGCTTTCTATTAGGAAGTAGATTGTTAATCGGGATTAAAGGAGGACAGGGTTGAAAGTATCACGAAAATACCACGGGTATGGTTATTTATGGACTTTCGTTTAAGAAAGGCGAGGGAATGTTACGTACCGTTGTTCTGACCATTGGAAGACATGACGAGAAATAATATAGATTGGCGCGAAAGCTAAGTTAATGGTGTCGCTTAATTTATATGGGATAAATTATAAGAGAAAACAGAAATGTTACTTTGGATTTGCTTCTTAATCGAGGGTGGCTGCTCTGGCGACTATGATATCATCTTGACTTCCTTGCTCCATGGCAAACGCCCCGGGGCGACAGCACTGATCGTAGTTCGAAGGACCGGAATGTATAAAAACACAGCAAGAGTTTTAGTGACTCACCGTGACCAAATCTCACGCCTTAATTTTAGCTTCGTTTTAGTTGACACTGGTCCAATCCTCTGTTGACACTGCCCGCGGGGCTCTGGTTTGGGATTAGCGGGCACGCCAACGAGAATCCTAGGGATGTCACCAAGAGCGCCGCTATCTGTGACTCGCTTGGTTCCCAGAGAGGGGGTCTTCGGAAGTTACATTGCCAATTTAAAGCCTGTAGTATTTAAAGCACATCGATTGTTTCTATTCTATACTATGATACGAGGACAAACATTTTTACCGAACTAGAGAACCATGGTCGAAACCACAGTGATCCAGTCCGAACGACTCTTTCCCAGCATCAATCCCACAGAAAGGGCAGTGCCTCTGTCGCTGCTAGATGCAACAACCGCCGATTTTTCTTCGACGACTGCTATTTGGCTATTTGAACGGCCTGACGGGGCCCTACAGGATGGATTCGACCTGTTCGACCACTTTCGCCGATCTCTCCAGGTCACTTTGAATGACTATCCCCAGTGGACTGGTCTCCTCAAAAGCATCACGACACTCGATTCAGCTGGACTGGAGAAAGAAACCCTTCAGTTTCCACCGCATGCTCGTCGCTTTGGCCGATTATATACCCACTATGGGTCGCCCCAGGATCCTGGGGTCGAGCTCATCACCGCAACTTCCACCGCAACTATTGAAACACTGTGTCCCGCATCAAGAACGAAAGAGAAGCCGCTTTTTGATCGCCAAAAAGTACGACTCGACCGCCTTATCCCCTCGGGTCGTTTGACTAGTGCGATAGCAGCTGTCAAAAAAGATGCGGCGGGTCTTTTGCCACCGGCGTTTGTAATTCAGTTGACAAAGACGGCCTGCGGTGGTTTTGCACTAGGTGCTAAAATTGCGCACCCTCTCGCCGATATACAATCACTTGCTTATTTTGTCAAGGATTGGGCAAAGATCAGTCGCTGGCACTTGGGAGGCTCATGTGGCCTTCAGCCCATCCTTCAACCAGTTTTCGAGCCAGAGCGACTCGACTCAAAGGCTACAGGAGATATCAATGGAGAGAATGCTAATCCAGAAGTACTCGAGAGAATCAAAAGTCTTCCTTTGCATCGCTATGACTGGTGGGCAGCACCAGCTCAATGTCCCTGGCCCCAAGAGATCCCAGAACCATTCCGAGATCAAGATTTAGAACTCATCGGCAAGACGATGCCATGGAAAGAATGGGATTTCGCCGCCCCCGTCTCGCATTATACTCTCCATCTGACTCGAGATCAGGTCGAGACCATCTGGAACAAAATTTCTAATGGAGACCCCGGAAATCCTACAGCCGAGCGAATCAGCCGACACGATGCTGTCCTGGCTCACATTTGGTCGTGTATCACCCGTGCTCGAAAGCAGCAGGAAGATACCGGCTTAGTCCATTGTAATCTTACCTACGGCACACGACCGGCCCTCCATTTCGGAGACGACTTCATCGGATCACCCAGCATGAACATCAACATCGAGATGAGTGGAAAGGAGCTAGCATCCGCAGAAATCCCCGAAGAACAGAAAACCAGAAGCATTGCGCAATGCATTCGCAAAACGATTAGCCAAATGAGCCAACCTGGCGCAATCGCCGCGCATCTTCATAGCGTGGCATTTGAAAAGGCTCCTCAGCGTATCTGGCAGGCATTTCTGGGGTCTCGACACCTTATTGTGACTAGTTGGGCGCGAGTTGGTATTTACGATGTGGATTTCGGACTCAATACTCCGATTCGGTTTGCTGAGGGGGTGATTCCGGATTTGGATGGGGATATCTTGATTAAAGATGCACCGCCTTTGGATCGATTGAAGAAATCATCGGATCGAAGTGCTTGGACGGATGATGGGGTTGATGTCTCGATTCATATCCGGGCCGAAGATATGGATCGCTTGATTCGGGATCCACTCCTCCTTCCATGAGGAAGAATGGAGTACTGTATAGTTAATACGTTTTATACCTTAGTATATCTATGAAGTAGTACATAAGTGCGATACCCAGAATTGAACAGATTTTCCCAGAGCCGCTTATGTCAAAGCGTGGGTGCAACATTAACATTCCATGATGCTAACCTGATGCGGCGATGCCACATTCCAATCAATCCCTGCAAGGGTCTCCCGGAGAATTAAAGTAAGCTGGACAAGTATAGACTTGGCAAGATAAGGTTCTGTCCGGCAAGATCGAGGCGTCTGCACGTCCGAAGTAAAATATCAATCAGCATACAACATTGTACATGCTATGTTTATGGAGTAAAGTGTCAACGTAGTGGCGATATGCCAAGATTGAAAATTTGCACTGGGGAAGACTGGAACACTTTGGACTCCCGCGTTCCCCGCAAAGTCCGGTGGAATCTTTTCTCTCCTCATTCTGTCTAGTCTCTTCTTTTTTACGGATCCGAGTACGGAGTAACTGGGGTGGAGTTTTTTAGAGTAAAAAAAAGTTTGCATTGACAAGGAAACTTTGGTCACCCCCTGAGTTGTGCTCGCGTGTGCAAATGTTCCCACGTCCCTAGTGGGTTGTGGGTACTCTACGCCATTCTTTTTTTTCCCTCGACTCTTTTCTCTCTTCTCCGCCCACCTCCGAGGCTGGTCCACACTCTCGACTTGAAAACACCCTCCTCTCTTCCTCCCAACGCCTCAATTCCTCAATTGGCTCGGATCCAGCATGGCTGACTCCAAGGCGCACGATGCCATTGCCCCGGCGGACGATCACTTGGGGCGCTACCCCTCCACCGATGGCCCTGAATCCGACAACGGCATGGCTAAAATTATTCAGAAAGCCCGTGCGGCCACCGAGAAAGAACGAAAGATGGGGATATGGAGGGGTATGAAGATTTATCCCAAGGCTGTTGCGTGGAGTATCCTTATTTCGACCTGCATTGCTATGGAAGGGTACGATATCAGCTTGGTGAACAATTTCTATGCTTTCCCTCAATTCAATCGGAAATACGGCGAGCTTCAGGGTGATGGGTCATACCAGGTGCCAGCACGGGTAGGTCATACATATATTTCCTGTTCTGTTCTGTTCTGCTCTTTTCGGCTTTCAATCGTTTTGCTACGCCGAAGACGTGACGGGCGATGGGCCCATCATGGGAACACCCATAATGATGAACTTCAATGCTAACATGAATTTCTGCAGTGGCAATCCGGATTGAGCAACGGTGCCTACGTCGGCGAAATTATCGGTCTATTCATTAACGGTTACGCCTCTGAACGATTTGGATACCGGTACACCCTCATGGCTTGTCTAGTATTGGTGACTGCGTGGACGGCGATCTTTTTCACGGCCCAGAATGTGCAGTCTCTACTAGCAGCGGAAATCCTGTGCGGTATTCCTTGGGGTGTGTTCCAGACTTTGACTATCACCTATGCCTCGGAGGTCTGCCCGGTCTCTCTGCGAGGCTACCTGACCACCTACGTCAACTTCTGCTGGGGACTGGGCCAGCTCATTGGAATCGGCGTGATTAAGGGTATGCTCAATCGTAATGATGAGTGGGCATACCGTATTCCTTACGGACTGCAGTGGATGTGGCCTCTGCCTCTCTTCATTGCAATCACGTTAGCACCCGAGTCTCCTTGGTGGTTGGTTCGTCGAGGACGTACGGATGATGCGAAGCGGTCATTGGAACGGTTGACGAACAAGGATCTGCAAGAAGATTTCGATGCGGACGAGACGATTGCCATGATGGTGCATACAACTGCCCTCGAGGCCAAGATCACCAGCGGAGCGAGTTACTTGGATTGCTTCCGGGGTACCGATCGGCGCCGAACGGAGATCGTCTGTATGGTCTGGGCGATTCAAAATCTGAGCGGAAACTCGTTTTCCAACTACTCGACGTATTTCCTTGAGCAAGCTGGACTCAGCTCCTCCAACTCCTACTCCTTCGCCATGGGACAGTACGGTATCAACATGGTCGGTGTTTTTGGCGCCTGGTTTTTGATGACTCTCGGTATTGGCCGACGAACACTTTGTCTGTATGGATTGTGCGGACTTTGCGCCATGTTGTTGATCATGGGTTTCCTTGGACTGGTACCTGATTCGCACCGTGACCAGGCCTCACTTGCCACCGGCGCTCTGATGCTATGCTGGGCCCTGTTCTACCAACTTACCGTCGGAACTGTCTGTTACTCGATTGTGGCCGAGATGTCAACTCGCCGGCTACAGATCAAGACCGTCGTTCTCGGTCGTTGTCTGTACAACATTGTCGCCGTTGTCTGTGGTGTCCTCACGCCCTACATGCTCAACCCCACCGCTTGGGACTGGGGCAATTATACAGGCTTCTTCTGGGGTGGTATCTGCTTCCTGTGTATCATCTACACGTACTTCCGTGTGCCCGAGCCCATGGGCCGTTCGTTCGCTGAGTTGGATATGCTCTTTGAGCAGAAGACCAGTGCTCGCAAGTTTGCCGATACGCAGGTGGATGTCTTTGGCGAGAATGTCGAGACTGAGGTCATCGACAACTACGCGGATCAGAAGAATGCACCCCGAACTGAGCCTGGTGAGGCCGAAAAGAACGCCTCTATTTAAACGGTGTCCGCTGATGAGTTCCACGTTTATGACCCGCCGCAGCGTATCCATTCAAGTTTCTCGCCTTAGATGTAAATAACCATATAGAACTATACTTCTACTACATAGATGTCACTAATTGAATCAATAATACTATATACAATCTCGTTGTGTTCATGTCCCTTAATCCCTTAATCCTTTTAGTCCCCGCGATCCACGGTTGACAGCGAAAGTGTCCACCAAGCCGAAGCCGAGCCGCTGTCAGCGCGAACTTGGACCCAGTCAATCTCCCAGGAACCTTGGAATATTTTCCCCAAAGACATTCAAGTTTTACACCTGGGCATCCTCAACACGTTGGGCCCCTCTTTCCTTCACTCTCGACTCGCCCAGCATTCAAGTTCTACCTTCAACGACGCGGGGTAGCGCCGGGTTCCACTCTTCTGCAGCGCGCAATGGACACGACCTTCATCACAATCCACGGTCAGTCTTGTCTTGTCTTGTCCTTTCCCGGACATGCATCTCAGATTGGCGGGGCACGCTGCGTCATTAACCTTTGACTTATGATTTGACGACAACACCGTACAGTATACGTATAGCTGACATGCATTGCAGACCTCTCGCGCGACGCCTCGATCCTCTATGCCTCGGACAGCATCCAGGTGGTGTTAGGCTACCAGCCGCATGAGGTGTTGAATCGATCTTGTTGGGATTACTTCCATCCGCAGGAACTGTCTTTCGCGCGCAGTGTGCATGGGCGTGGCGTGCGATTGGATAAGGCTGCCGTGTTGAACTATTGTTCTATTCGGCATCGGGATGGGTCTTGGGTTGGGTGTGAGTGTGTGTTTACCGTAGTGTATGATGTGTTGATCGCGAGTACGACGGTTTATGGAAGGGGGAAGGGGACTCAGAGTAAGTTACAGACAGCTTTTATGCTGAGCCTCATTTTATTTCCTTTCCTTGTTTTCTCTTCTTCCTCCCGTTTTGCGTTTGCGTTGCTGCTGCTGTGAACTGCATTAACGCCATTTACAGAGCGCGCTGTCGACGCACCTATCGTCCGCCAACTCTTCGACTCCTCGCCCAATGATCCACGATATCACATGTTGACCTTTATATCCGATAAATTCTCACGGCGTCTCATAGAACCACTTCACGAGCCGCGCGCGGCTCTTTTTGTCAATCGCTTCACCCGCACTGCAACGATCATGTACGCGACGAGCGGGGTGCAAGAAATTCTAGGCCTCAGCCCACGACAACTAGTTTCGAAAAGTTTCTTCTACTGCATTCAAGAAGAATGCTTGCGAGATGCGGTTCGGTGTCTTGAGGGTGCGAAAGCCAATGACTCGATTGCTTATTTGCGCTTCTGGTTTCGCAATCCATTGCAAGAGGATAACACAGAGGGAGAGACACCCGACTACGATGGTTATACATCCGCTGGTGTAACTGCTGATTCGTCTGGTCACGCTTACCATGTTGCTCCACCTCCCGTTGAACTAGAAGCTGTCGTTTCTTGTACATCGGATGGGCTTGTTGTTATTCTTCGTCGTGCCCGAGCCCCGATTCCTGGCGGCCCTCTCCCACCGCAACCTGTCCCGGCTTATTCCAATGGACTCTTTGCGGCACCTTGGGCCTTGGAGCCTGTTCTTTCATATGGTCCCACATCATATACTCAACCTGCGTCTTCGCACGGCGTGACATACCCAGAAGACAAGAAGACTCTTTGCAGAGACGACTCCATGTCTAGTGTGGCATCAGGATCAGCCTCGGCATCTGGATCTGGGTCTGGATCTGGATCAGCCTCGGCCACAAACTCAGGTTCAGGATCTGGGTCTGGATATGGATCAAGTGGTGCATTTAGTTTTGCAAACCCTCAATTCCAGACAGACAAGCAGCAAAGTTCCCCCGCTGGTCCCCATGCCAGTCAACTTATGGATACAATTCGGGACGTGGCGGTGTTTGCTTGGGTATCGTGGGTATCAATCGCTCTTTGGAACAGTATAAATATGGGACTCCGTCGGGTGATGCGCACCCCGAGGATGCTGTTATGGATGGTGCTTGAGAAACGGATGAGCAATGACTTGGAATTTGAACAATATTGCATGCATTATGTTGAATGTATATGTGAAATGATTACTATGGTAGTATCTTGACTGATTATTGACGCCGCACCATGTCATGACTATGAGCCCAAGGACAGCTTCGTTTGAATTGATACCATTCAGCGGTGGATTTTATAGTAAATTCTAGAATACAAACGCCTTTTTGTCTCGCTACCTAGACGCCAGGCCCGACATACTCCGAAGTTGCAATGTGCAAGAAAGAAAAAGCCCCATCCAAAGCATAGTAAGCCTCGTCACCCTCACTGCTCTCTATTCATCGCTCATCCGGGTATCCTCGTCATCTTCGGCAGGCTGTTCGTCCTCCTCTGCGACCTCCTCTTCTTCAACAGGAGGCTCGGGGGGAGGGGGAAGAGTTTGTCCAAACTTGGGATCAATGTTGGCGCGGTGTACGGCACGCTTGTATACCTCCGACTCATCAGGATCACGAACAGTAACCTGCATCTGGTCGACCCTTTCTTCCTCGACCTGGGAAGCTCCCGGAGCCAAACCAGCCTGGGCAATTGTGCGAGCACGCTCAGGCTTGAGACGAGTCTTTGCGACAATCGGATAATAAAATGCCGCGCGCTGCCTATCATTACCGTCACCGGAATTGAGCGAGATGGCGATGTCGCTCAACTTGTCATTGTTGATGACTTGGCCGCTTGTAGCGAATGTACGAACTCGGTCGTAGCGGTGGTATTTGTTTCCGTCCGGTCCGTCGTTGGTATAGAGTTCTTCATTATCGCGGTTCGGGTGGTTCAGGTTCATGCTTGTTCGGACGTTCTTTGCAGACTCGCGCTTCTCCGGAAGAAGGAGATCATAGTCCCACGGCACGGCGCCGGGGTCAGCATAGAGGTCCGGACCGGCCTTGTGGAGTGCCACTTTTGAGGCATGTTCCTGGCAAATGCGTTCCTCGGGAGCAATTGGGCGAAGAATAGCCACGTCGAGGCGCTTATCACGTCTGCCTCCTGCGGTGGGAATTGGTGCCTTATCGAACTTGAATTGAAGGAAACCGCCCGGGTCGGTGAATCCTTGGAGATCGGGAAGAATTGGGAAGAACCCGACGGGCTTGAGTTTCGGGTTGTCCGGGTGAACGGGGTTGGCCCACGCATCGGTTTCCGTCTTCGTGGCAGGTAAACCACGAATGCTGCTCTCGGTATCCTCGCCAGAGTGTTTGCTTTCAGGGTGTGCGATGTCGAATCCCTTTTGAATGTACTTCTTGACGTGCTTCGGGTCGTCCACTGTTGTCTTCCCCTTCTTCGTCGAGCGTGCTTGCGGCCTGGCGGGTGCGCCAGTGGCGGCCGCAGCAGCGCGGTCCACGGAGATATGTTGAGTGCGGCGAAGGAAACTAACATTTGTATTCTTCGGGGCAGGGTTTCGCAGTTGATCGAGGGTCATCAGGAGAGGGAGATCGGCGGTATCTATGGTTTGCGGGTGCTCGGGGGCCATGATGGCTGTCATCCCATTAGCGATCTGATCTTCAAATCGGACTCGGGCTCGTGTTCAAGCATTCAATCACATACCACTCTCATCGCCCAAATGCAAGCCAGGAATACCGACAAGGTCAATGGGCATACCACCCTCTGCGTCGACGTCGATATTGGGTTCTTCACGTCGAGCCAGGTTCGAGGCGAACCCCGGCGTCACGAAGCGACTGAGACCTTCATGCGGGATGTCGAGCAGCTTCGGGGGCATATCTGGCGGAGGGAGGTCATTGCGGTAGCGTAGGGAGGCAATATACTCCTGGTGAAAGCTCCCGGAGGACTGCGAGTCCTTGGATTTTGACATTGTGAGGTTCTGCTGTATAATTTAGGCCCAGAGGGTCTGTGGTGAAGGGAGGAGAAGGCCTAGTCGCAATCAGCATTCGGGTCGCGCGCAAAGAAAGATCGGAGAGAGCACATACCGCGTTGCGAAGGAGATTAGGGAAGGTGAGCGGTGGGCAGAGACAGCAGTCAATGCGGGTGGGCGCAGAACTCTTAGCAAACGACTTGTTCCCAAGAAGCTTTCAGTGATCTCCTCATGGCTGTATTCGCCGGCAAGCACAGCTATTTTGCCGGATATAACCGCCTCCACTCTCGGGATAGCATAGGTCACGTGCTACCATTCAGATAGTATCAGGATTCAGGATGAGAGAAACTCTTCATGTAGGAGAGGCATATTTCCATTATTGACTAATGCTTTTGAATGAATCACACCATAGTTCTTGTACCATCAACTCCAATCATCCAGACCGATAAAAATTAATTGAAGAATAAAAAACCCAAGATCCCAAATCGCAAATCAGTATGCCCACATGCACTTGTAAGCCATCAAGCGGTGCCCTAAGCGGTCATACTCGAGTTTCCCAATCCAGCTATCATTAGTTCCACTCAGCTTGCCAAAGATACTAGCACCCTTCCAAACGACAACCTGTGGGTCTCAGGTCTCTGGGTGGCACTCCAATCATGATTTCTTTGGCGAATCCTGGACGGAGGAAGTTGTAGCCGTTCTTCGAGGAAGAGATTAAGTCCACTCGTCAAACTACCACCGCCAACAATCATGATACCTCCGATAAAGTCACGCATCTTCTTCTCATCGGAGCGGGCAGCATGAGCAATTGAGGTGAGGATTGCATTGTCCAAGGCATACACCGGAAGAATATCGTCTCGGTGCTCCATCGCCTGGCGAGCAGGCTGTGTAGTCGGAGCAGAAACGGCAGGAGTATTGGCCCCAGCTGTCTGTGGAGTTGCCGCAACCTCGGGTGCCGGGGAACCAGCAACTGAAGAGTGAGGTGTGGCTTCTTGCTCCTGAACTCGACCTAGTGGGTTGGATGTCGCAGGACGGCTGGGAGTTGCTTGCACATCGGACGGCGCTGCCTGTGGTTCCGCGTTGGCAGTTCCATTTGGTGTAAGTGCAGGCGCAAGAGCAGTCATGATCTCCGACTGGGCGCCAGAAGTAGGATCATTGGCTTGGCCATCATAGATATCAACGGATCGTTCAATAAGGCGTCGTCGACCGTCGAGCTTGTGATCATTGTCAAATATGGTAGGCTCGAAGAATCCCATAGGTGCCAAGTGGACCTCGTCGAAAGCCCTGAATGTGTGTTTTTGGGTGTCCTCGCCAGACACGCGAAGGTGAAAGTCGAACACTTGAGGGGAAACGTTCGCCTCGGTCATCGTGCAGAGATTCTTTTTCAACTCTTCAGCTAGCAAGAAGTCATAGCGTCTCCACAAGTTGATATCCGAGTAAGGGAAATGATCGTGCAGCATCATCTTCACAAAGGCCTGGGTCACATCTTGTCCACCCATTTTCAGGTTCACTCTCGAATTTTCCACGCACATACCCTCTTCTACACAGCAGATTGATGTTTTCTGCGCTCCTATATCGACCACACAGGCGGAGGTGAAACCAGCACCAAAGGTCGCCGCCAGACTCTCTTGGATGAAACATACTCGGGCGAAGGAGAACTCGCGCATCAACATCTCCAGGACCTGAGTGATGTAGGTCTTGTCGTACAAGTCGGGGATGACAAATACGCATGAATATTGAAGCCAGTCTTTCTTGGAAGTCAGACCCAATTGATTTTTGATCGCATCCTCGAGAATCAACGAAAGGTCCAAATAGAGCATCGTCTTGCTTTGATAGTCAGTTTCATTGCACCATCCATTGCGAATAGGCCAATAAAGCTTGTATCGGGGCTTTGAGGAGTCGGGAATTCTCAGTGCGTCTTGTCCGACAATGTATTCCGGTGGGGGGTTGGACAATTCAGTCCATTCGACACGCGAGGGGTCGTTATGCTCAGAGATTATTTCTGGTCTCTGCCTCCGGTTGTAGTTCACAACCATGTCCTTGGAATTGGGTAGCATGCGTCGCTTATTCTGTCGCATGCGTACTTTGAGTTCTGATGACATCCTGTTGAAGTCAGCAGACCACTAGTTCTCGATTAGCGACGAGTCCATGTAGTTTTCTCTAGTCGGTAGTTCGTAGGACATACCTCAGGCCCAAATTGATTCTCTGGCTCCTCCTCGGTGCCATCCTCCCGTTTCATCCGCTTCGGCCTGGGCTCATCATGGTCTTCGCTTTCGCTTGTTTTTGACTTGCGGGCAATGACCATCGGGACGGTCTTTGGCAAAGCATCACTTGAGAGACCGATGCGCAAATTCTGGCTTCCGACATGAATGACAATGACCTTGGAGCCCACGGTTTCCTCGGGTGTCTCATCCGCATCCTCCATGTTGGCATCGCCGTCCGCCTCCACCTCGGCCTCTGTCGCTTCAGGCTTAGCCATGGCGAGGGCACGATCCCGATCCTTCGCAGTTTTGGTCATCTTGGTTCGCGCCTCTTCATTCGCGAGTCTGAATGCCAGGTTCTGGTCATCTCTCTTGAGGTAATCACTAAAGCGAGTAAGGCGCAATTAGCACTGCGAATCTTCATGAAGCTTGCCCGGTTCCCAAGAATGAGGCCACTGGAAGGGTCTTACGTGTAATAGTTCTTCTGATTGATCGCCGGAATTTGAGGCCAGCTGGATAGGTCCATATTATTGTCTGTTCGCTCCAGGCCTAATGATTCGGTATCAGACACTCATGCCGCCATTTGCTTTCATGGGATCGATCTCGGGACTTACCTTCATCCCGAAGGGCCTTTCCTGATTTCTTGCCCACCATTATGAAGGATGTGTATTCTCTAGCCAGTGGTCGAGTCGATCAATTGGCAGCCAATGCTGAAGCGCGGGATGGATCTAGGGAGGGCGCAAGCAGGTTGGGTTGCACCGTAGATGCGGCGGACCAGCGGTTGGAGGAGTTGGCACTGTCGGATAGGTAGGAGTCGATAGGCTGCAATTGAAAGAGTGTGTAGAATATCAGAAGAGACGCAGCGGGCAGGTGAGGAGGACCCGAACGCGGAATCGTCGTGAGGAAGTCTACCAAGGCCATTCAACATCGCCGATTGACCGCCCACGCCCACCGCACCCGCACAGGCCGATCGCGCGCCTTCCAATGCGGTTGCCACCAAATGAGTCCCTCCTTTCATTCACCTACTCACTCTTCTTCCTCTTCTCCCTCCTCTCCCTTCTACGACCTCCTTGGATTGTATCATAATCATCGCATCCTTGTCTGAATACCCTTCTGCTTCTCCGCCCCTCCTCGACATCTGTATCCACCCTTCTTCAGCCCCCCCCCCCCCCGACTTTCCATACTTGCTGCTGAGAAATCCCCAGCGACTCTTACTCCAACCCCCCCGCCACATATCACATACACACAATCATGGGAGCTTCATTATCGCGTCTGTGGTCTCTGGTGTGGGCCAAGAAGGAGATCCGAATCCTCATCCTGGGTCTCGTAAGTGAAATCACTCCGGCGCGGCGAGAAAAGGCCCGCATGCAAGCAAGCAACCACAAAGCGGAAAGACTGACAACCTCTTTTTTTCTCCTATAGGATAATGCCGGAAAGACAACTCTTCTCTACAGGCTAAAGGTATAATTCTGACATCGAATCCGCTCCGCGTACCGAACGTGCTGGCAACTTGGAGTGCTAACGACTCGCGTCTCCAGATCGGCGAGGTGGTCACCACAATTCCCACTATCGGATTCAACGTCGAATCGGTCACATATCGGAATCTAAATTTGAATGTTTGGGTAGGTCATCTCCCCTTTATGATGAAGCCGCATTTTCTAGGACACCCCCCACTAATCGTCGTTGGTCACAGGATCTCGGAGGTCAAACATCCATTCGCCCTTACTGGCGGTGCTACTATGCAAACACCGCTGCCGTCGTTTTCGTCATCGACTCTACAGATATTGAGCGCCTGGGAACCGCCGCAGATGAACTGGCAGCCATGCTGAACGAGGACGAGCTCCGTGAAGCGGCCCTACTAGTGTTTGCCAACAAGCAAGACCAGCCGGGTGCCAAGGGTGCGGGCGAGATCTCGGAGGCATTGAAACTTGGAGAATTGCGCGATCGTAACTGGAGCATTGTCGCTTGCTCTGCCATTGATGGCAAGGGCATTAATGAAGGCATGGACTGGCTGGTGGTATGTCTTCCTCTTCCCTTCCGTCTCCGTCTACGGATAAGCCCGATCTTCTATACTAATCGAAACTTTTGCAGCAAACCATCTCAGCAGAGAACGCATAAAATGAAGCTTTGTTGTCGGGCTATAGATTTTGATCTTTGATATACCTTGTACCTTCAAGTTTCCCGCGCGATTTTCCCGCGCGACTTGAGGCCGTTACCTGCATTCGGGGGTGCTGAGTCGTTTCTTCCCTTCGTCTCTGTTTAGACCAGCAGAGTCCTTGTCTTATATTGCTACATGATTTTAAGTGTCGGCGCCTTACGGGGTTCTAAGAATAATAGTTTAATTGAACTGCTGTTGAGGCTCATACTTTTCTGGTCTGTGCTTTCCAATCGTGAATTTGGAGGCTTCTCGATATCATTATTAGTGTGAAGATTGATCGTTTGGTTGATCACGGCTATTCTCTCATCGTTACAAAGTCATAGAATGTCCAGGGGATTTTTGTTCTTCTCGTCGCTATCTTGGTTTTCGCTCTGAGCAGCTAGCTCCTCCTTCCTTCGTTGCCTTGATTTTGCCTTGTATAGTATCGAAGTAGTAGATGCCCCCCAATTTCACGACTTCGGGATTTTGAAAAAGCTACACTGCCATTCTCTTTGTTTGTCAACCCTCTCCATCATAATTTCTCTGCGGGTGAAGACATTCCATTCCTATACAACCACAAGCGATTTGAACTTTTCACCCTCATCAGCTGCAAGGGAACTTTGTCATAGCTAAGTTGGTAGTTATCTGATTCCTAATCCTCGACTCCAAACATTCAATAGTCAAGGTGTCACCATTACACCATAGCTGAATCAACTTGACGCTTTAGTACATGCTATTCTTATTGGGCATGCCAAGTCTTCCAACCACTGGCAGTTTTGTATTCGAGTTGTAAGCGCATGTGAGCTCATTTTCGAAAGCGGGGTTGTATAACATTTAGCTTTAGGGTTATAATCTGCTGACTCTTTTTTGACTTCCAAGACTAAATCCCAGAATTCATGCTTCGAGTTTTTTTTTACCTCCAGCTATATTCTACATCGACCCCCTTATAATAAAGTAACTTATTAAGAGCTCCCGTCCCCACCAAGAATCGTTCCCTGCTTGTGCTCCTTACAAGTCTGCTTTTAAGGTTGTCAACATCATTGATCGGAACTTGAAAGTCTGTATATGATGGTAAGTTTACTTCATGATATATTTCTATCTTAAATTTGTCTAACACTCTTGAATCTGTATGCAGGCTGCACCAATTATCTACATGATTAGGCATGGCGAAAAGCCAGATGATGGCGCTAATGATCTCTCTGCTCAGGGGGTAGTAAGAGCGCAACGCCTTCGTCAAGTTTTTGGAGAGAAAAGTGGATTTAATATTGGCTATATCATTGCCGAACATCCTAAGAAAGGTTTGGGCGTCTCCTTTCACCTTTCATTCTCTTTTGAGACGGTCTCTCCCCACTACATAACCCTCGCTTGTTGCGAGTAGAATTTTCTGTGGGCTGGATCAAGCTAACGAACGCATCTAGATGGTTCTCGGAAACGCCCGTATGAAACCGTGCAACCCCTGGCCAACGATTTGGGTGTAGAATTCAACACAAAGATTGATAGAGACGATGCGATGGGCGTCGCCAGGGCTGTAAAAAGGTTTAGCGGACCCGGAAACGTCCTTATTTGCTGGGAACATCACAACCTTTCCGATATCGCAAAAGCTATTGGCATAAGAGGATTTGCGGATAGTAGTGGCATCTCTGGCGAGCTTCAATATCCAGGCTCACGTTTTGATCTTATTTGGGTCGCCCCAGCCCCTTACGATGAGGTAACCGAAGTACTTAGCGAGGATACTCTGGGTTAAAAGCTGCCTCTAATGATCCGGACGCAAAGACTGCTATAATCTCATATGGGACTTTCTGCGGGTAACCATTTATTTGAGATATTCAATCGTTGAAAACGTGGCATCTTTTGATTGTTTGTATCAGCTTGAAGATTCAAGATTCCAATATCCTCATCGATCCTAAGGGCTTGTCTCTTCGTGGACATGTCCTCGGAAGAGAGCCATTGCTAAATATCAAAAATAAATAAATGCAGCAAGATTGCGAACCATCGCAAAGGTATAGAATTACAAGGAACGGTAAATCGCGATGAAAGCGCAGCTTCCGCGAATCCCATGTGGTCAAGTATGGGGATGCATACTTGATACTTTAGTCTTCCATGGTTTACTAGACGTGTGCGTCATAAGTAGATCTTTGGTGAAATTCGGCCGCGTTGGGCTAGATAGAACATTTTAAGGTTGGATCCGCCCAATAACCCGCCTAAAACAAGGGTCTAGGCCATCAAATGCTAAAGTTTACCTTAGATGTATAGCTAACACATGGTCACGCTTTACGAACATAAAACGCGGCCTCGCTGACAAAAAGTGACCTTTCTCCCTTGCTTTTCCCTAACAATCCTGGGTTACTCTCACCATGACGCAAGAAGCATCCAAGCTGGCAAGCTACAAGCGCATCATACTTTGCGCCGATGGAACATGGCTGGCGTCTGACCAAGGCGACAATTCCGTGCCTTCGAACGTTGCGAAGGTCGCTCGAGCAATTGCGACCAGTGGCCCTGATGCTGATGGCAATATCGTGAAGCAGATCGTGTCGTATCATCCCGGCCTGGGAAGCGGAGACCTCCCGTTCCAGAAGGCCATTTATGGTGAGTACCTAGCTCTTACTCAACACTTTGTTTTTGTATTTCTTTTCGAAAGAGCTTGGCTGATGTGCTACTTCTCTCATAGGCGGCATCGGCTGGGGTCTGGACGCCGATGTGTGCCAGATCTATGATTTTATCTCTAATAACTATGTGCCTGGTGACGAGTTGTTCTTCTTCGGCTTCTCGCGCGGTGCTTTCACCGTGCGCTCAGTCGCCGGCCTGGTCTGCGACATCGGTGTCCTCTCTGCAGTGCACATGTCGCACTTCGCAGATATGTGGAAGGCCTACCGTGAAAATACGGATGGAGAGCCCTTCAAAAGGACAGCATGGTATCAGCAGAATAAGGACAAGCTGCGCTTGACAGAAGATCTCAGGATCAAAGTTGTTGGAGTTTGGGATACCGTCGGAGCTCTGGTACGCGACGCCCGGGCATGATTTTGCTTCCATAAGACTGACTTCACATGGCTAGGGAATACCTGAATGGCCCCTTGTGAAATTGGCAACAAAATCTGGCATCGCAATTAACAAACAGGAGGCATTTCACAACACGAACGTAGCAAAAAGTGAGTGATGATCGTAAAATCGGTTATCCACCGGCTCTAAACAGCAAATCCCATCAGATCTGGACTATGCATTCCAAGCCCTTGCCATCGATGAGAGACGGTTAACGTTCCCTCCTACCCTTTGGCACAAGACCCCTGGTGCTCCGGCCAAGGATCTGCAGCAATGTTGGTTTCCTGGCATCCATAGCAACATCGGTGGCCAAGCAGCAGATCCACGAACCGCCGGTGACCATGAAGAGATCGGCGACATCACATTGGCATGGATGGTAAACCCTTCCCTCCTCCACAACTGCAACACTTCTAAGATTCTGATTGACTGACTACCCCACGCAACCCAGATGGACAATCTCTCAGGCATGCTGACATTTGAGGGGAAAGCGATAAACGAACTGATCAAGCAGCACCAGGACGCCCTGGCCGAGAACAACGTCCGAAACAACATCGAAAATGGATGGGGCTGTGGGCCAATTGTTTCTAATTTTTCTGGTTTGCAAGGCGCCTTCTTCGGTCTTCTTGGGAAGCAAGATCGAACGCCGGGCAACTATCCGCGGGTCGCTGGCGACGGAACTGATGGTGCCACAAACGAGTATTTCCATCCGATCGCCCGGATCAGGAAGAGCATACTATCCAACTATAACCCGGCATCACTGCACGGATATTCTTTTGAGGAGTCCGATGGTGAAGCTGGCTGGAAGTGGGTCAGAGAGGGCGTACCGGCAGTACCGGAGTATGTGATGCGCCCTCAGAGGAAGATGAGTGTGATGAACGAGAAGGGATATAAGACTATGCCTAGTTTATCCAGGTTACTATGTCCGGCGGAGCTTCTAGCAGATCTCGATAGGGATAATGGCGTGCAACCTGAGTGATGATGTGTTTGTTGAATGAATGGCTTATGGAATATCTATTTTGTTGTGTGTGCACTTCGTTTGTAAGCCCAGCACAGCTCAAAAATATTTTCTTGCGTTGATATCCTGAATACACCAACTAACATATTGTAGAGGAAACGATACCGGATAATGGTGTAGTCTTAAAAGACTTGGTCTAATCCGAGTATATGACCCGTACAATCTCGTAGAGATCCATAGCCGTTTCTATCTAGAATATAATTTTACTCTTTACTACAGCATTCTTCGCGGTGTAGCCGGGTGGTCTCGCATAATGAACGGGGTCTTGGCGAGGGTTCTGGGTGAGGATTCTGGCGGGCGAGCTCCCATCGCGATATGTGGCAAAGGATCTAACTGCTTATCTACTTGCAGGATAGAAGACCTGTCAATCAGGTAAATATAACAATTACAAGTGATAAGGGAGCTGAAATAGAAATCCAATTCATGCAAGAACTGATTGTTGGAGTCGAGATAACGACATGACATCGAAGATCCTCAGTACTGTATTGCATATGTTTTGATCTCATGAATTTGAAGAGTCTTGGTATAAAGACTTGGAATCCAGAAAGGTTGTGGTTGGTCGGGAAGGTTAGGAACCAGAGAGAGTGGAATCATGGATGACTCAATCTAGAACATATGCCAAACATACCGTAATGCTACCAAATATTTGAATAATAGTCCCTACTATGTATCAGGGTCCACGAAATTCAGCAAAGATCTGTATCCTCCATGTACTATGTGTTATGCCTTTTCGTATTTACCGTGTTACACGGCCTTGGCTGTAGGCGGTTGATGGCAAACTCAATTTGTAAGGGTGGCCGATGACCTTGCGGGGAAACATGCCAAGCTAATAGTTTGGGAACTGAAAGAAAGAGCTTAACTGGCTATCGTGCTGTCGACGCCAGTTCGTTCCAAACTTGACGGTAATGTAATGAGGTCACAATAAGGTCACAAAGACAACTCCCAAAGTCATCTGGGACAATCATTCACATTGGCATAGAGTGCCAAGACGACATCTCTGCCAGGTTTCTTTGACCCGATTATGTGCTAGATGAACCTATTTAGGTTTAAAACAGGGAGCTGGATGGTCTAGAGCAGGTAGAGCTTAGCCTCCCTTCCACCTCTACCGGGTTCGAGTTTTGATCAATCCAAAATCGGCTATGGAATATCCCGCCACAACGATGCTAATAAACACAAAATGGCACTATACTTGCCAAGTCTTCCGCGGGGAAGGTCGGGCGGAGCCCAGAAACTGGTCACCGCAAAATCTATGCCATTTTCCGCCATTCAAATGTTGGACATGATGGAATATCCAGGAAAGATTCGCCCGCCAAGAAATGGTCCTCGTGTGACCTGTCGGGCAAACGATATCTGTCGTTATTGGATTTCTATCCTTATGACGACAAATTTGATACTTGTGCCTATAAAGCAGGGCCTGTCGCGCCTTTTGAGCTTCTAATCACCTTCAAAGTAGCTGCCAGTTGCTTCAATTCGGATAATATTCTCTTCTATTCCATATTACAAAATTCCTATCCCCCAATACGATGGAAGAAGATATATACCGTTCAAGTGAATTAAACTTTAAAAATTCAAGTTTACTTCATTCTTGGCAAAAAGAAAGAACACAAGCTACGTTTTTGGTAAAAGGTAGATAAAGCCAGTACCTAGATCTAGATGTCAGTGGCCAAAGCTTATTTTGGTTTGTGCAAGCTCATTCTATCGTGCCAAACACAATCAGGTCTCCTGATACGTATAACAACCACACAGCACGCCATACTAGTACAAGGTGCTGATGAGGTGAGGTTAACAGTAACACTCCTGTTCCACATAGCATTTCAATACTACATAATATTTTCTGGACATTTTTGAAACGATCAATCCCCATGGATACGAGCACATTGCAAATATTGTAGGGGAAAGAATGGATTGTATCATGAGTACACAAAACCCCGCAAAAGCATCAGTGGATGAGGCTCTCTCAGCTGACACCCCATGGACCAATTATCTCCAAATACAATGGGAGTGAGATGACGGCCCGCCAGCAACTATATCCCAACCCTGGCGCAAGCATCTGGTAGGGCGTTGGTTGAACGTGGAACGGTGGGGTGGTGGGCGGTATTTTATCGGGGCCGCCCGTCTCCCGGTAATTATTTCACGTAATTTACGTGGTTGTATTCTTCAGTCTCGGTCATTTGAGCCATCGATACACGAGTTGTTTTAGAAAGTGGCGAGCCATGGAACAAGCATCTCTGATTTTGTCGGTCATGATATAATAACCTGAGAACTAAGTAGGTCCTATAGTTATTCTGCCGCAAGCAGAATATTCATAGTTAGCCATGTGACAACTGCAAATCGTTCTACGTGTAAATCTAGACTGTTCGGTGGCTTTTCAATCTAATAGAACTGATTGTCCAGATCTTCTAGTCCTTACTATAAATACTGACCAGTGGATTTGGCAGACTTGTTCCTGCTATCACAGCCTCATCTCATTTCCAACTTACAATTTTACAATATCCTTGGAAATACCAACTTCAAATATACATTAGCAATGTATTGCCTCCGTTCACTCTTGTTACTCTTTTATACCCTCAACTTAACTTGGGGGTGGGGGGACGTCGGTCATCGCACGGTAGCCTATTTAGCAGAGAAGTACCTAACCAAGCAAGGGAACCAACTCGTGGAGGATCTTATTTCTCCCAGTGATGAGTTCGATATCTCAGATGCGGCGGTTTGGCCCGATAAAGTGAAATTTAGCCGTCCATACTCTCGAAATTGGCATTTCATAGGTGTGCTGCGATAATATTGATGGCATACTTACATGCTGATTTGGATAGATGCTAAGGACCAACCACCCGATTCTTGTGCTGTTTCCTTTGAAGCAGATTGCAATGATGGATGTATTATCTCTGCTATTGACAACATGGTCAGTAATTCTGGGGGTCTAGCTAGATCCAGACTATCCAAACAATACTGACTAGTCAACAGACTCATCAAGTACAGGATCTTGATCTGGATAAGCAGCAGCAAGGCGAAGCATTGAAATACCTGATACATTTCATTGGAGACCTACACCAACCGCTGCATGTTGAGGACAAGTGCAGAGGAGGAAACGAGATTCACGTTCACTTTGACAACCACGGTGGCCAAAAGGAGAATCTACACAGTATATGGGATACGGATATTCCGCATAAAATCATCGGCATCAAACATAGGCTGAAGCAAAACGAGGAAAAAGAGCCTGCTGTAAAGTGGGCCACAAAGCTGTTCCAGTCTCAGGGATTAAGGCCCCTTCATGCAGAATGTGCTGATACACAGAAACCTATGAAATGCTCAATGCTGTGGGCAGCGGAAACAAACAGACTGAACTGTGATTTTGTGTTCAAGAATGGCATTGAATGGCTGGAAAATCACGACTTGGGTGGAGAGTATTATGATGGAGCAGCTCCAATTGTGGAAACGCAGATTCTCAAAGCAGGAATTCGCCTAGCTGTGTGGCTGAACGCTTTGGCAGCCGACAGAGCGTCACCTGCATCTGGAGGGCTCTGTGCTCATCAGGGTGGAAAGGTGAGATACGTTTCCAATCCTGGACAAGCCCCTCTTCACAGGTCTGATTAATTTACCTTTTGCCGCACTTTCAGGTGAAAGCACAGAAGGAACTAAAATAAACCAAAATACGAAAAAGGCGAAAGCAAGGACAATGCCAATTCCAATGGCAGAATCTAAAAGTAATAGTATTTTTCGAGTCCCTGTGACAAACCAGAATGTTTATTATTGAATTGATGCTTACTGTCCTATCATTTTCCCACTACCTTGATAGCTGGCCCGTAGATCTCACCGTTTCATTCTTTCACCATCTCTAAAATGGCTGAACAGGCTAAATACAGCAAGCAAACCATTATTAGTATCCGCTATAACTTATGACAATTTGGAAGCTTATACGCACCCCAACCCCGAGTAGGACGAAAACGAACTATGACACCCCCTAATGATCGAAGCTCTCTATAATCACCTATATAAGAAACCCGGCCTCTACCTCGAGGAGATATTTAAATTCCTATAAAATTAGTGCCATAGTAGTGTGTGAGGCAGACGATTCTTCTAGTTGAATTTCATTTGCTATACAATGTATAAGATAAAACGAGTGCACACTGATTAAAACTATCGTAGGCGGCAATAGTCATAGAATTGGCATATTTGAATGTTGACCAACGGCAATGAGGGAGAACGCCTGTCCTGGTCTAATCATGCTAAATCTTCCCCTGCTATTTGATTGCACTCGTCAGGAGTCACGCTCCACCGACTTCAACCCCCTCTCGCCCTTAGCATGATCTAATTCGGGGACATGAGAAGTAAGAGAGAGAACTGTCTTTATTCCGGAGTCTTTCGACGACTCCTGTGGCCAAGGAAAAACGGTAAGCCTAGGCCACTGACGCTGCCATCGCTCGGCTTTTGTCTCATACACATGGCGTGGAGTAAGCAGTGGATTAGGGCGTACGACAAGGTTGAATAAATCAGAAAAGCCATGTGGTGCATAGATTCGCCATTCTCCATTTGGTAGCAAACGGACACCAAGGCATGCGGTTGTCGTTGGAAAAGTAGCAATCGCGGCCTCAACTGAATTGTGCTGTGGGCAGACTATTCCGAGCTTTTCTTTATACCACAAATGAACCCTTGCCTGGTTACGGATCTGCACCGGAGCGGGCAAGTCTGCAAAGATCTTATGCCCGTTCTGGATGACCGTATCCTCTGCCTCCCACGATACGTCGCTACTGTCGAAATAAACCAAGTCGTAGTCAGCAATACCAGCTTCAGGATCTTGTCCAGTAACCACGTTCCAGACGGTTTGAAATAGGCACCCAGAAGCTAGGTACCACTCAGGCAGATCTATTGCGGAAGCGCGACGTAAAATCTCCGCTAAAGTGCGGTTACGACCGAGTGCTTCACGGAAAAGGTCTAACTGCTCGTTGATAGGAAGTTGGGCAGGTTGTCGGGATGACGTGGTAGGTATTTGAAAGGAAGTGTTATTGAAAGCCATGGCAGATATTTAATCCTAGTGATGAGAGGCTTGGATCAGCCATATAGAAAGGGGTTTTCTAGGAGCTGTTAAACTGTTATCGCGCTGACTTAAACGAACAGGCGGTCAAGACTCGGATTTGCCGCATAAATATAAAGTTATCCCTAAAAATATATATACCCTAGCATCCTTTGGTGTGTATAAGGATATATAGCGATATAATGTAGATTTAATGAGGACTATCCTAAATTACTAAGGTTTTATATAACTTAATAATCTAGCCTTGTATAGTTAGTATAATCCTATAGGGCTCCTATAGGTATAGCCTTCACCTGGGCAGTCCTATCCTATTCCTATAGGACTATAGGGCTATAGGACTCATGTAAGTGGGAATATTCCCACTTATAAGTAGGATTCCCATAGGACCTATGCGAATGGGAGTCCCATGCACAGATCTACCTACGTAGTGGATTTCCTATGCGAAGTCTTGGCTTTCCCGTTCTGTTTTGGTGCTCAGTGAGCGCCGCTTTTGCTCACTGAGTAGATCTGAGCACGTCTCTGTGCGCGCTGAGCGGATTAGTGAGTATTACGTGACTGCTCTGAGCAGCTTTCTGATCGCTCTGATCTACTTAGTGAGTCTGATCAGAGTGCTCTGATTTGCTCTCTGAGCTTTGCTTACATGAGAGCCAGCGGTCTGACTCAAGCACCCCAATAAAACACAGCACGCTACATACCCCTCACAAAAGTCTTTCCCATTTTTAGTACGCTCAAATGCCCCATAAAAAAAGTTACGCATTACAAACAGCTGTAAAGTTGTGTGACAACACTATCTCCTAGGAGCAAACACACAGAGTAGTTTATCTTATAATCCTATGAAATTCTGGCTGAAGCCTGTAAGCTCCTAGGAATAATTCGTCTAGTTTGCCCTTGTATGCTGCTTCTGGGAGAGGTCGAACGGCTTCTAATTAGATCTATATTTGTTTAAATAATTTAACAGGCTATTAGTTTGTTATACTGCAATAGTCTTCTTGCAGTTCAATTATACTTATGAAGACGATTGCGTAAGGAAATTAATCTTTTAACTCTCCTGATCGAAGATAGGGTAAGATTTTTGCAGCAGCCAATGAGCAGACAATAGGGCTATAATACTTTGTTGCTCCTAGAAGCTTGAAATTTGATTATTACTTTTACTGTCACGGGATTCGGAGTATACAACACCTCAGGTATTCGACATTGATCTGGGGTCGAATCCCCTTCGAGCCGCCTGCATATTGAGATCCACCCGAGCCCTAGTATTATTGGATCCCACAATCATCTAGGATTCTTGATCTCTTCAAGAATCAGTCTGTGTATCAACTGTCCAATCTGACCTCTACCGTCCGATACCCTTGCCTAGTCACAGGTCTCTAGCCTGACAACTTAGTAACCATTACACTCCCAGCCCGACCTAATGGCGCTGGTTTTTATCGTACGTTAGCCTGCCGAAAGAGCGAAGTCACCGGAATCAAAGTATGGACGTTCCTTCAAGTCTGTAAGCAAGAAATTGGGCTGGTTTAGCACGGTTAACATTACCTTAAACCGCTTGTCAAGCAAATACCCAAGGGGCTGCTTCTCGTAAAAACTGAAATGACGTTTCTCACTTTCAGATAGTGGCTACAAGAAGTGCTGTTAGCGTCGAAGCTCAACATCTGTGATAAGATCCAAAGCCTACTTCTGGATTTAAAGTTTTGCGCTCGGTCTACATTTTCAGTGAGTCTGAGAATACCTTATGCAGCACCAAAAGTGGGTGCTTTACTTCAAAGAGTATTGGGCGGCGGCCTCTATCCTTTCCTCACTGGCGGGCAGACGAGCTCCGATGCAGCTTTATGTCAACTACTACGGGCAAGTTTGAAAGCATACACCAATTCAGTCAACTGATGGGTCCTAATTCGGGACACGCTCCGCTGATAACTTGCTCAGAATCGATGGCCGTGTTTTGTAAGTGGCGTCTCGACCGTGGCGAATGGGTACTCCATGAATGCCCTACTCGAACCTTCAAACTAATCAAAATCTGTAGATCCATTGCGGACCAGTTCAACAAACAGAATGATTGGAACGAACACATGCAGCAAGGGATTGAGGCTATGGCTGAGCGGGCAGATGAGGTGATGACCCTCAGGGAGACGGTGGCCATGTTGGAAACCAGAGTCAATGAGATTTACCAGGTCAAAGAGGTTTTGGTCGAGCGCAAACCAGCTGGACGACTCAAGCGTTCGCAGTGAAGGCCCACTGTGGTTTCATGTCCGAGATGGAATGGGAAATGAAGGTAACGACAAGGGAGAGAGGGGGTGAGGGGAGAGCGCGGAGATTCTGTGTCGTGCTACCTACCACCAGATAGTCCCGCTGCAAAGTGCGTCAGTCAAAAAATGGGTGGTAAGTTCCAAGGGTGGTTTGCAAATAGCTCTCGCAAATTTAAATCCATGCATTACTTTACAACTGGTGATTAAAGTTACTTTGCTACAAGCTACTGGGTAGCGAGGTGCTAGTCTCTAGTTGAGTATAGGAAATTTTGATCGATTCACATTCTAAGACAAGTATCTTTCTCAAATCGAACAACAAAATAAGTATTAACAGAGGGATCTGGTTCTGAGATCCTGAGATAGCCTTCTTCCTGAGCTTCACTCATATTCAGATAAGTCACGATGACAAACAAGCTTGACTGTAGAGTCACAATTGTTCGTATAAGGCGAGCTCACAGCCTCCTCATCATCACTACAGGGCAGACTGAAATTGTCACACTTGACGGTTTGACTGTCGCTTTCATATTTGCAGTCCTCGAAATCTCCACCATCAATATCAAGATCTGGCGTACTGTCTCCAAAAGCGTTATCCGACCCAATAGTCGTCAGATCACAGATGTCAGGATTGGAATATTCACTGCTGGTTACTGCATAACCAGGGTATCCGCCTTCAGTAAGGCCGTCGCCACTGTTTGATACCTTGGAAATGAAAATGTAACTACTCGGAGTAGCTGCAGCGGCGGAGGCTGATGCCGCCGAGGCTGACGACACTGAGGCCCTCGACGCACTCGCTTCCGAAGCACTAACGCTGGATCGTGATGCAGATGCAGCTGATTCGACAGAGGCAGTATATGCTGTATATATAGAGGTAATCTGGGTAATGGATTCCATCGAGGTCACGCAGGACTTGGCTTGTCCGACATAATTGTCAACGTAGCGAGAGTCGTCACAGGAGTAGACAATGCCATCATTTGCTGTACTAGTAAAAGAACCCTTATTTCCTGGCGTCCATGACAGATCTGGGTCTGAAGGCGGTCGGGACCAGGGGCATACTTTCCAGTCTTTCTGACCGGATGTTGAACTAGCAACACTATAGGTACCAGTATAGTCACTGCAGTCGAAAACGCAGTAATCCTCTGCGGCCCTATGATCAACAAGATGAATCATACTGCATGTGGGCCCCGCTGTGGTGGCGGGGCTGTCGGAAGTTCCAGTTGTTTTAGTCGATTCTGTTGTCTTGGTTGATGATCCGGGAGGCGATGTCAAGGGAGCTGTTGACGTTGTGGCTGTAGAGCCACCAGCACTAGGACTTGCGGTAGTACTAGGGTCGGCAGTGAGAGTGTGTGAAATCCCGGAAGCAGTTTTTCTATAACGACGAGGAGAGCATGCAGCGTATGTGGATGTTGTCTCAAATGTAGTCGGGGTAGCGTCACAAGCAGTTCGTGTCGTACATGACTCAGTACTGGTAATCACACTAATTGTAGTAGTGTCCGAGTGGGGAACTTGACTGACAACTGTATCCCAGGTGCAATCGGAGTATGTTGTGCTTGAAGTACAAGTAGCTGTCGTAGATTCGGAAGTTGTCGACGAGTCAGATTGAGATTCCGATGTATGTTGATCGTCTTCTTCCTTCTCCTCCATGCTCTCCACAATACTACTGATTTCCACAAGATACTCCGTTCCTTTCTTGACTAGGTCCTCAATTTCAGGAGTTATATCATCGACATCGTCGGGGATCACTTTTGTAAGATCATCCACAATTGGTGCCACACAGCTAAGGGCAGAATTAGCGATATCCTTAGCAGTATCCACAGTCGCATCGACAGCTTGTTTCGCAATATTGGAAACGGCATCAAAAAGACCTCTCTTTGCCAAAGATCTCTTTTTGGAACTTGAGCAGGGAGATTTGCTCCTATCGAAATCCGTTTTGGAGAGATATTCGGATGTTTTATCGTCAATCTCCTCAATACGATCTTTATATTTTTTCGGATCCTTCTTGAGATCATCAATGTTGTTGTAAGGATTGCCCAAGAGAACCGCGATAGCGGTGGCACTATCAGAGGTAGTGGTCACTGTGCCTCCAGTTTGAGTGGTGGTCGGAATAGTGGCCCATTCTTCCTGAGACGGCGATGCCGTCGGCGCAAAAACGGCAATAGCAGTATCGCTCCCAGTGGCCTCTGCTATGGCAGATTTGAGATCAGTCTCGGATGCCAAATCTACCGAGGAAACCCGATCAGATGAATTCACGAACGGTATTGAACTGGGACGGCCTGTCGTGCTGGAGCCTGCGTCTTCACCTGAGGTGGTTGTTTGTTGACTAGAGGATGTTCCATCGGTTTTTGAAGTGTCATCCGATGTTGAGGTACCTGCGGTGGTCTTCGGGCTAGAGCTCGAGGCTGCAACTGTAGAGCCTGATGTTGTAGATCCAGTAGGGATGAGTGGCTTGGAACTTGAAGTGTCATCCGATGTTGAGGTATTTGCGGTGTTCGTCGGGTCAGAGCTCGAGGTTGTAGATCCAGTAGGAATGAGTGGCTTGGAACTTGAAGTATCAGAGCCAGTTGAGCCCGGGACATTAGGGTGAGAACTGGAAGACCCGTGTGATGAGTCCGACGTCGAAGTCCCGCCAGAGGATCCACCATGACTGGAACCTGAGGTAGTCGAGTATAGGTCATCTGGCTTCGTGCTTGTGGGCCTAGTTGGGGAGTCCGATTTTGTAGTTCCGTGTGGAATGAGGGGCTTGGAGCTTGTATGTCCGGCTGTAGGGGAGCCAGCTGTATAAAATCCAGTTGAGTCTGAGCTAGTCGATGAAGTGACGGCCGGGTCAGGATCAGCTCCAGTGTTGGTGTTCGAGGCGATAGAACTAAAGTGAACAGTGGGAATTTGGCCGTCAGGCACAGTGACAACGGAAGTAAGCTTCAGCTTATGACTCTTTGCATGGTCAAAGGGGGGTAGTGATGAAGTCCGAGTTGATGAGAGAGGCGTTGAGCTTAGTGGCGGAGGTGTAACAAAATCAATGACAGGAGTAACGGTGTTGGGGACAATCAGAGTGGTATTGACGGTCGTGGTCCAATCTGCGTTAGCTCCATATAAAAAAGGAAGCAATAACAAGAGAGTGCCCTTGATAGTAGCCATGTTCAGGAGAATTGAGTCAATGATGAGGCTTCATTAATTGGGGATCCTGGGGGACCAGGTTCAAATCATTTATACAAAGCCTCCTAGTTGGGGCCAAATCGTGAAGTCCGATGTATACTACCGGAAAAGAGTGACGCAAATTGGAATTACTACATCTACAGAGTACGAAAGATCATTTCGGCAACACATATCTCTTCGCCAAGTGCCAAGTGATGACTGCCAAGTTATGCCAAGATTGAAAGGCCTCGCTTTTCATAGTGAAAACTAGAATGGGAAAGTAGCTGCGCAGAATCAAACTGTACATCTACTGCATACCCCTGTCATGGCCCCAATCAGGCCCCCTGGCCCCCAACTCTCCACTCTCAGGCGTCCCGAAGGGGCCAATTCTCAGGGGTTTCTTCAGGCCAGATGAAGAATTGACGCACAATAGATCTTGCATCGCCTAGGGGAGAAGAGCTTACATCTGACATACATACATACCATGAGATAGAATACATATCAACTCTCTCTGTAGTCCGTACGGAGTAGCCCAATGGTCACGCACAGCGTACCCATAGCACCGGAACGGTAAATTACGACGGAGATCATAGGATCCCAAATTCTCCGATGAGTGACTGTCGGAGGATTATAACATACGGAATACGAATGGCTCTGTCCCTAAATCATGTTCAACATTCTACGCTTGGAAAGCGGCCTAGAAGAGTGGCAACCTAGAGTTTCAGACTCACAGCCCATTTGGGGGCGAAGGATTCATTGAAGGCTTCCAGCCTTAGCCATCCGAGAGATGGCCCGTAAGCTTAAACTGTTTAATTTAAACGATTCCGACAGAGGTGGGATTAGAACGAAAAGGAAGCTGGGCCGATAAATTGCAGGAGGCGAGGCTGAGCGGTAGTCCCTGTTGATCTCATCCGCGCAGAGCCTTTTCCGCAGACTCCATAACTATGTAGCATATGATTGGTACGGAGTATATGTACATAGCTGGTGCGGGTATTGTTCCTGGGACCAAGCTCTTGGGGATTGGAGGCCTAATAGTAAGATGCCCTGTCGATCTTTCACTGCAAGGTAGCATTTATGCAGTTGGCCCCCATGGGATCAGTCTGCCAATGGCAGTTCATCTGGCCAAGGTGAAACCTACTACTAGGTAAAATATTGCTCTACGATTAGTCCAATTCACAAATATAAAAGAATCGGCTCTTCTTGGCCAAGTCAGTAGAGCAGCTAAAGCATTTTACTAATCCCCGAGGGCTTTGTATTCCCTCCCAAGCTTACATCGCGAAAATGAAGATTTCGAAGCTGGGCCTTGTTCTTTTGACGAGCGCGTGCAGTCACGCTTTCATTCTCGACAAGTCTTGCGGCGATGCCAAAGGAAATCTCGCAATGCGTGTGAAAAAGTCCGTGAGAGAAGCGAAGCTGGCACTTGCAAATGCAGCTGAGGTTGCAGAACAATGCGAAGCCGATTGCAGTCTTCAGTCAGCGGTTGACGACCAAATTTTGGCAGAGGTAGAGCAATGGTGTGGTGATGGTGGTGATATTGAACGACGGAAAGCCAGTAACAGCCTGCTTGTGAAATTCCTCGGGGATGAATCTGCAGATACTTGGGGCAAAGTCCACTGTGAGTCTTCTTCAGGCTCACTTCACGTATCTCTAGCTAACCAACTGACAATTTTTAGCGGCCACTAGCAAGGCGAAAGAAGTCCTTAAAACCTCTTCAGACCAGTCCGACAATGCGAAAATCTATTGTGGCGACTCGTCGTTCGTTAGGCAGGCCGGACAATGGAAGGACGAAGACTCAGAGTACGCGGACATTGCTTGGACTGCCGATAAAACTTCGCCTCAAAGGCCATGCGAAAAGGTCATCGGCCTTGGCCTTTACCAGACGGGAGCAACGCATAAAGGAATTCTCCTCTGCAATTACAAGGACATGCTCAATACCGAGACCAGCCATACGGTTGCAGGAAACTACTTCAGCTATAGCAATCTGTTGGACAGCACCACCGACGTCCCTATCGCAGCTTTTGCGGACAAAATCAGCTCAGTATTAATTCATGAGATGATTCATCTGGGCGACATGCAGCAATGTAAGAGTTTTGAGAGTCCAATAAATGTCTATGCTGAACTAACCATGACTCGTTTCAGTCCCGCTTATCATTGACCAAAAAACCAAGAAAACTGAACAATACGGTTATGATGAATGCGAGAAGCTCGCAGGCACGGATGCGAGCTGGCACAACTGTGATACATTCGCATTGATCGCACAAGGTGGGCTTTTTTCTTTCGAATAGACAACACAGGACAATGACTAACGTTGATTCACTTAGCAATGTATATGAACACCTACTACAGCGATGAGAACCTACTGAAGAAGCTTCCCAAGGATCAACAACCACCCGCGACTGAAGTCAATGGTCCCTACGGCCTGAAGGAGAAGAAAAACTAAAAGTGAATACAAAAACTTGGGTACAAGTCTCAAGTGTTGGATTTTGGTTCTTCAATAATTTCTAGAGTTTGATTCTCTGTTTTCTCCCCAGGGATATCTGTCACCGGAGGAAACTAAATGCTCATTTAATGTGACTTAATTTTTGTAAATTACTTCCTTAAAACATGAGGCTGGACGAGCGTTAGTATCCAATGGATGTATAGGGGTGAGATAGAAATTGGAACCAAGTAATGAAGCCTTCTTCCGATGGTCTTGTACTCGCTGTGCATTGAATTAATAAGAAGAATAGACTCGAAATTTCTTGGGAAGGGGTATCCATCAAAAAAGATAGAAAAAGCCCCTGGAAAAAAGGGGAATAGTTTGCTTACTCGCCCCCATTCATGGGCCTGGTCCCGCCCCCACTTGCTTGCCCCACCGTGACGGGAATAATTCGAGGCATCCACAGTCGCTCCTCTGTTCGAGTTTCGCTCACTTTCCCTCTTTCTCTTCTTTGAATCTCATTTATCCTAGGTTTCGCCCCGCGTTGCCTTTGTTCTCAGAACCTTTAAAGCTAACTCTTACACTTTCCTTCATGATTCTCCTCGGGAAACAGCTCAAAATAGTACTTGTCGGCGATGCACGGGTTGGCAAGGTAAGATCACATGTTCTGAGTTGTAGAAAGATGGCTGACGATAGATTTTGCAGTCAAGCTGGCTGTCACAACAGTTAGAGGGCTTTTATGAGCCTGAATATACCCCCACGAATGGCTACAATTCCGAGAGACTCGATTGTCTGACTGTGAGTTTTATTTGCCTCTTATTCGATGATCCCCAACAATCAATAAATTCTGATATGCTAATACGTCAGTCATAGAATATCGGGCTTGCTCAAACCATGATCTGGGATATCTCTGGGTCGAATAGTACAGCTCAGGATAGGGCCAAATGGATGGAAGATTGCGACGCCGCCATTATCATGGTTGATCTCGCAGACCGGGCGAGCATCGAAAATACAGTATCTTGGTATAGTATGTTCTCTCAAATATCTTTTCATCGGAATCTTTCAGTCAACTAATATCCGATTCGCTAGAAGAGATTATCTCTTCCCAGAAACAAACATTGCTTCCAGTAGTCATCTGTTCCTACAAGGCATATGAAAAGAGTGATAAGCGGGCAATAGACCCGGCAGAAATCTCTTGGTCTGATGAACTGGGCAACACGCCGTTCTTTTACAACATATCTCGAGATATTAATGTAAAGCCTAATAGGATGCTCTTTAACAAGGATATTATGAAGCCTATCGGGTGGATTTTGGAGCAACTGACGGGTGAGACCGATGTGGTATGTGTTTTGAATCTTCCACTCCTCACTGATTGCTCTTTCGCCATAACATATCATGATACTGACCTTTTCCTTAGGATGCAAATTTTGGCTATGTTCCCTCCCGGGATGCATCCCCTCCTCGCCCTGTCTGGCCTGATGGAATTTCACCTGAGCTAGCCGAGGCGGCCTCGAGAACCCTAGAGGACGACGACGAGGAGAACTTGTGATTAAATAAAGCCGTGGATCGCTTTCTGCCTTGTTTACCGGCTTGCAGAGTCTGTCTAATAGCAATGTAGCTCAAGCTTTTATCTATCATAACTCCAATTTCTTATCCTTCCCATTCAGAGCTAGCAATGTCTAGCAAGGGGCCCTTACTGGTAGAAACTCGTGAATAATATGCTTCCAAGTACACTAGATAAACACCTGTGCATAGCCGGATGTTCTAACTAGTTCGAGGAATCATTAGTGATTTTCCCGACTGGATATACAGTACGTACAGCAGCAAAGAAACCTTACGATACTACCTAGTGTAAGATGGGAATGCTCGTAGGCTGTCTGCGTTGGCAGACGGGTCGATCGCAAAGAGACAACACCACCACACTCGCAGAGTGCAAGGAGACGATAGGCAAGCGTGACACTATAGAGAATCAACAGAACGAACAACAGAACGAATAACAGAACCTTTTATGAGCAGTATACCGATACCGCTACCTCAGCAGCCTCAGTAGAACATTTTTCATAACAGAAGGGGGAACATCCATGTTGAATTGATAATCTAGAACGAAACTATTTATCCTCCTTGAACTAAACAGCAGCCTTGTTGCTAAGGCTCTAATCACATGACTCTGAGATACCGATGTTGAGGGCAGTAATCCCCACTACACTAGGTAGTAGGTGGGTTCATCCCAATTAGTCAGCGGCGAGGAAATCCGGGATACTAACTAGTATGTAAACTGACCTCACTTGGGCTAGGAATAATCTATTTCTACAAGCTTGCGATCCCCCAATGCAAAAGTATACTACTAGTCGCATCAAAGCATTTCTCTATTTGACATATCGGAGGATTTCATAATTCTACAGGACTATCCACCTATGAATCTGGCGTCCGTGCTGCCACTGCCTCGTCAGGGCGCAAGATAAGGAGATGCAACGACCCCGCATCTGTGACCTGGCTGGCATACAGCAGCACCCGACATCACCTTCCATCTCAGAACTGTAATCAACTTGGGCCTATCGGGTTCCCAGATAGCTTCCCCGTCTCCTACTCCTCCCTTTCCTTTTCGACCTTGATTATATTCAATCTTCTCAGTTCTATCAGGTAACCGTATCTACTTGTGCAACTAGTATAAACGAACACTCCAAGATGGCGATTCCTTCTACCCAGATCGCAGCCGTCATTCCACCGACCGGGGCATCTGCAAAGTCTGGGGTTAATATAATCAACACCCATCCAGTCCCTCCCCCAGGCGATGGAGATCTGCTAGTGAAACTTGAATTTTCCGGCGTGTGCCATACAGACATCCACAGTATTCGGGGTGATACGCCAATGTTGACAGATGTGGCTGGCCACGAAGGTGTCGGAACTGTAGTTGCAGGTTAGAAAGGACATATTCGAAAGAGGCTTTTGGTATAACTTGAACTAATATGATTCTTTGCTATATCTCAGTCGGGCCCCGAGTTGATGAAGGCCAGTGGGTCGGTCAGAGAGTCGGTATCAGGTCCGCGCCTCCATTTCTTGGCAGATTTTAAGATAAGAGCGTCATGTTTGAATGGAGTATTAACCAAATTTCCTTTTCAGGTGGCTTTACAGTTCGTGTCTTAACTGTGAGATATGCGCGATTAATCATACCGCATGCCCGAGTCAGAAAAATGCCGGTGCCGTATGTCTCAAGTGGAATATCAGGATCAAAAATAAGCCCATGCTAATAACTATCATTGAAGAATGTTCCAGGGACATTTCAGCGTGCGAGTCCCCAGCTATTATCTTATTTTTAACGTGAAGACTAAGTGGAATCTATAGAGTATATCGTCAGCCCGGCACTGCATGTCACAAAAATACCCTCTGAGATTTCCCCCGAGCTAGCAGCGCCACTTCTATGTGGTGCGTTTAATCATTATCTACTTGTGCTATGATGATCAGCTAACATTCGATAGCTGGAATTGCCATGTATTCTTCAATCATGAAAACAAAGCCTCGCCCAGGGGATTGGATCGCTATTCTTGGTGCTGGAGGTGGTCTCGGACATATGTGCGTTTAGGTTTACGCTGTTCACCAAACAAACCATAGTATTTTGCTGACTTGAAATTACAAGGGGTGTACAAATAGCCGCAAAGAAAGGTCTGAATGTTCTCGCTATTGACAAGTATGTTCCATCTGAAAAGATCCCCCATCAAGCCCGGTTTGAACCCAGCTGCTAACATTTCCCAGGGGAGCAAAGAAGAGAGAATTATGTCTATCGATAGGAGCCAAGTACTTCCTTGACTTTAGTGAAGTTGACATTGTTCACGAAGTTAAGAATCTTACCTCAGGACTAGGTGCTCATGGTGTAATCTGTACGGCAAACGGCCCACGAGCATATGAGCAAAGCTTGCAAATGCTGCGCCCACTCGGAACACTAGTATGTGTTGGCATTCCGAGTGTTCCATTTAATCTGCCGGCTACTCCACTGGACATGATTATCAAAGGTAAGTGAGCCTTGGTATTTTCATGTTCACCTACTGATCTCCGTCTTAGGTCTGACTATTGTGGGGAACTCGGCTGGCACTTCAAGCGAGATGGAGGAGCTTTTGGTTATGGCTATGGCAGGAGATGTGAAGGCACATATCCAAGTCTTTGATTTGGATGAGATTCATGATGTTTTGGAACGACTCGAGAAATCGGAAATTGAAGGCAGAGTGGTATTGAAGATTCCTTAAGGAGAGTTGACCTGCATATATTCTTAGTCTAGCTCACCCTCAATCAATTCATGAACTTGAATGTGCTTCAAGTTGTATTGAGCAACTATGCATTTTTCAGACTGGTGCTTCACAATGGGGCTCCTTCCTGTTTTGTAACCTTCAAGTGAGCAACCCCCCCTCCCTCCTCCTCCCCGTTTGTACGGCAGCCACCGGGCAAATTGACGCTCCGTCGATCATCGTGACATTACCTGCACCCGCAAATGAACTCAACAGTATCTGCAAGTAAGATATAGGATTCCTCCTGTGGCGAATACTGGGGTTTGGTCAATAAAAGCTGACTCTGGCAGACATTTCTAGGATAGCTCAGCTATGGCTTCTCGTGGCGCAAGTCCTCATCGCATTTACTTCCTTCGTGTCCGTGTCTGCCGACTCTGGTGGGTCATTTCTGTGGAATCCGCCTTGGATCAACGAAGCCAACGTCTACGCCCGGATGATTGAACTCCAGCACGCTGGTGATCAAAATGGCAAACTACTTGCGACATGGGAGCACTGGTACACAAAAGGCAAGAACAGTGATGAGCCAAACGGCCTCCCTGGCAGCTTCATTATTCGTGAAAGTGACGACGGAGGGAATACTTGGACAACATTGACAACGATCATCGATCCGCAATCCGGTCCAGGACATCCCTGCACGCGGTTCTGGCAGCCCTTTCTCTTCGAGTTTCCACGACGACTTGGTCAATATCCCGAAGGCACTGTGATTCTGGTTGGCGTCCTTGTTACTTCCGATTTAAGCTACGTTTCCTTTCACCTATGGCGGTCTCTCGACCATGGGCAAACGTGGAGTACGGGGCAAGAATGGCAACGCAGTGGTTCATTCACCCTCGGGATCTGGGAACCGTTCCTTTATCTGGATAGTGGGAATAGGCTTGTCGCAGTTTTCTCCGATGAACGTTCTTACTGGAGCCAGGCGTTAGTGACGGTCATATCTGACGATGGGGGCGAGTCATGGGGTAAGATCGAGTTCGCTGTGGCTAGTTCCAATATTCATGATCGACCGGGCATGGCCACGGTGGCGAGGATGGACAATGGCGAGTACGTTTTGGCCTATGAATACTGTGTCACCGCAGATTGTCAGATCTACGTGAAGTTCTCCAGCGACGGATCGAACTGGTATTCATCCGATATGGGAAACGCTATTTCCACAACCGACGGCCTTTTCCCGGCATCAAGTCCTTTCATAGTTTAGGAACCTACAGCAAAACAGTTGATACTTTCCAGTCAATCGGTATACCCGATCGGTAACGAGTCCCAGGTCTCACAAACCCATCGTGTCGTCTTCACCAACAGCCAGCATGGCCGGGGGCAATGGATATGGTCACCAGCCCCTTGGAATGTCCGCGCGGGATATCCGACTTGCAACTCCAACTACAGCCCCAATTTGCTCGTACGTTCCAATGGCAAGGTACGATTGACTGCTCCTGCGAGCGAATGGAGCACGACCAAATGCTCCGAGCGAACTGGGGAGGCCTTCATCGGTGTCCTACCCTACCAGTCTGGTTTTGCAGTCGACGGCCAGTCTGGTTGGATTAACTTCGGAGGGCACTGGTCTATTTCCGGCAGCGAGTATGTGTTTGCACCCGTCGGTGATCAAAATGCCATCGCCGTGACTGGGTCAACTGGATGGACACAGTACACAATAACTAGCGATGTGATGATTACGACTCCCTCTGGGAGGGTTGGATTGATGACACATGTGGCCGCATCGACCGCCCCTCGATCCAATTTATTGCAAGGGTTTACTTTCACAGTCAGCACCGGGACCCCCTTGGGCAGGATGATAATCACGCAGGAAGGCACTGTCTCGAGAATTCTGGGTTCCCATCCAACACCCTGGTCAGTGGAATCGAACAAATGGTATCGCCTGACCCTGACTTATCACCCTGACCTGGTTTTGACGGTTACGGTGGGAATGCCCCCTGCACATGATGAAGATGAAGACGAAGAAGTGGAGGCCAGCACCTCCTACAATATCAGTATTGCCACTAGCCTTAATTCCAGCACGGACAACGAGTTCGAACAAGGCATGGCAGGACTGATTGGGCGAGATGGTGGAGGGAGATTTAGGAATGTGCATATTGTCGCCAACTAATTCGGAGCCAACCATAGGCTATCGTTACGAATATCATTTGATCATCCAATATCGTGATTTTTATGGAGTGTAGGATACAGCGGATGGCGAGTATACTTACTACTCGTATCTGGGTGGCTCAACCGCATCGGGTCGATCAGTTGGAGACTCAAATAATCCTCGATCCCATTCAAACCCGGGGGAGCTCCAATGTGCGGTCGATCGTCTCGCTGATAGGCCCGCTGGGGCGACCATCGGGGGTGCCAATCAGCGAACAGTTAACCCCCCACGGGCGGCCCCGATGCCTGTGAGTGGCCCACATCGCCACTAATGCAGGCCCGAAGCCAAATGCCCTTAAAGTTGGTCGTTACTCCGTTACTCCATGCGCACTTTGGATGTACTCCGTACTCGGAGATGCTCCATTAAAACTGTTTTCGTGATCTACTGTAGAGTGGAGGTGGAGATAAAATGAAACTATCTGGTCCCAAGTCTTGGGTACTTCGTCCCCCATAGTAATTTGCCCTCGGATACAAGTTCCAGGTACAAGCTTCGACCATTGTCACGCCTCCTACTATCGCAACCTCCCCCACCCATGTGTTGCCCTGATAGGATCTGATGCAAGCTGCTGGTCCCCTCCACCCGCAATGGAGTGCCACCGGTGGGCTCTATGCAAATGTCCTATCAAAAGTGCCATGCAGTAGTACTGTACTCTCTGGAAGTATGAGCATGTGCTCTGGCTCTGGCTATGGCGGTGGTATATGAAATATCAATCCCCTCGTGCCTTCCCCTCCTCCCCCTCCCCCCTCCATTCTCCTCTTTTGAAAAATGTTTGCCGATTTTCTGACAAGTCCCTCAATGGACTGGCTACACGTCTACATTGCCGGGGCGGCCTTCCTAGTCTTCGCCTTGGTCGCGCTGGTTCTCTTTGTCTCCTTCCAACAAGTCAAGATTGACCTCAACCATGGCGTCTTCACTTACCTCAAGTTTATTTGGGCCAGTTTCCTGAAACCTCATGATAGCCAGGCTGGGGATCAACAAGATGCGCTTGAGAGCTTTTACAAAACTCAGGTGCGTGCCAAAGAGTATACAACAAGTCCCATGCAAAAAATAACCCGTTTTGTATGTTCTATTTTAGGCCAGCGTCTACGATGCTACTCGACGTCGTCTTCTCTGTGGCCGCGAGGATATGCTGGGTCTCATTGCGGCGCAACTGAAGCATAAAGTTGAAAGTAAGGAAATCAAGTCCGGAAAGGCTGTGTGGGTGGATGTAAGTATTTTGAAATTAGCATATTCCTTAGAGTAAAGCTGACAGAGTCTACAGATTGGCGGTGGTACTGGGTGAGTTAAATACTATGAAATTAGTCCGATGAGTTTAGTCAAGCATGGGCAAATACTAACTATTTATCCACAGTTACAACATTGAAGCCATGTCCGCCTTCGTCCCAGTAGAGAGATTCTTCGACCACGTGTACCTCGTCGACCTTTCGCCATCTCTCTGTGAGGTTGCCCGCCAGCGTTTCCAGCGCCTGGGATGGAAGAACGTCACTGTTCTGTGCCAGGATGCGCGATCCTTCCGTCTTCCAGAGAGGCAGGTCGACCCCCGGTCCACAGAGGCTGCAACGGATCGAGCCGACATGATTACCATGAGCTATAGTCTTTCTATGATTCCAGGTGAGAATTCACTGCTTGGGGGATTAAATTGAGATACTCATACTAATATCATCTTGTAGACTACTACAGTGTCGTCGACTCCCTAACCTCGCGCTTGAAGCCAACGGGCTTGCTCGGTGTCTGTGACTTCTATGGTAAGTAGCGACCAGAGGTATTTTAAAATAGCTGCTCACCCTCGGATAGTGCAAAGTATCGTCGACGTATCTTCCCGCAATTATATTGGTGGAGCATTCAACCGACACGTCAACTGGCTTGGTCGAGTCTTCTGGCGTGCGTGGTTTGACTTTGACCGAGTCAACCTGGAGGCTGCTCGCCGTGATTATCTCGAGTACAAGTTTGGAACCGTGATCTCGGCCAGTGAGCGCAACTACCTCCTAGGTGGAATTCCCTACTATATTTTTGTCGGCTGCCCTAAAGAGTTCGCCTCTACTCGATCCAGTCAAGCCACCATCGAGAAGTTGGATGCTTCGTTCACCGAATCTCCCTATCTACACCCTGCCAATCACGAAACTGAGATGGATAAAGCCGTTCAGAAGAGCACAAGCGAGGTTCGATCCAAGGCTTATGAATCTGCTGTGATCAACCTCAGCGCCAACCTCCCTCTCCCATGCTCTTTCTACCAGAATCACCACTACCGGATCCACTACAATGACATGCTCCCCAAACACACGCAGTTCCAAAATGAGTATATCTACGCTTTCACTTGGGAAGATCCCCGCGTGGATCACCGACTGCTAAACATCGGCTCAGACGATGTGATCTTGGCCATCACTAGTGCCGGAGACAATATCTTGGACTACCTTCAGAAGAACCCTCGTCGTGTCCACGCCGTTGATCTAAATCCGAACCAGAACCATCTGCTTGAGCTGAAGGTGGCCAGTTACAGCACACTGGGTCATCGTGATATGTGGAAAATCTTCGGCGAGGGCAAGCACCCACAGTTCCGCGAGCTGCTCATTTCGAAACTGAGCCCTCACCTCTCAAGTCAGGCTTTCCAGTACTGGTTGGAACACACCCATGTCTTTACTTCCACTTCTGGATACGGTCTCTACGAGACTGGTGGCTCCCGTCATGCTATTCGTATGGCACGATGGCTGTTCAATATCTTTGGGCTCCAGGGTGAGGTTACTAAGATGTGCGAGGCTCAGAGCTTAGAAGAGCAGCGTGCTATTTGGCCGCGTATCCGTCGTGTTCTTCTCAGCAAGCCGTTGAACTGGGCTATCGTGAGTACCGAATGGTTTGCCTGGAAGGCAGCCGGTGTGCCTCGCAACCAGCGCAACATGATCGTCGATGATTTCTTCCGTCGCAATGGATTGACTTCGGACATGAAGCAAGGAAAGGACATCAGTGGCCAGTCCATTTGGGAATACGTGGTGAATACCCTCGACCCAGTGGTCAAGGACACTATGATCAGCAACGACAACTACTTCTACTACCTGTGTGTGCAGGGTAAATTCTCGCGACGGTCAGTCAATCTCTTGAACATCCACCTCGAAGAAATATGAGAAATTGGTACTAATTTTTTCCAGATGCCACCCTACATACCTGTCACCCCAAGCGCATGTCAAGCTCTCTACGCCCGGTGCATTTGATGGGCTCCGTATTCACACCGATGAGATCAACGAGGTTATCAACCGCATCACACCCGGCACATTGACTATTGCCGTGGTAAGTTCAAAAAATATCTACCTTGAATTAAACCCCGCATATACTAATCTGATTCAGGTCATGGATTCAATGGACTGGTTCGATCCCGCCGAAGACGCAGCCGCCGCTCAAGCCCGCCGTCTCAACCACGCCCTGAAGAAGGGAGGCCGGATCCTACTCCGCTCCGCTAGCATCGACCCTTGGTACATCAAACACTTCGAAGACAACGGATTCACAGCTCGTCGTGTGGGAGCTCGTTTCCCTGGCACTTGCATCGACCGGTAAGTTCTGTTTCTCAACTCCTCGATTTCCAAAACTCGAACTAACTCATCAAATCAGCGTTAACATGTACGCTTCCACCTGGATCTGTACCAAAAACGAAGACATCATCCGCCCCGGTGCTGGAAGAACAATGTCGTCACTGTCCCTCCCCGATAGTGCCGTCGTGGCGAAGGCGAAGAGATCGACTAGCGTGGAGGACTTGCAACTTTGAACACCACCCGCCCCTTCCCTTTCCTTTCTCCTATATCCTTAAGATACCTTTTCTTTTTCATGACTCCCCTTGCCTACCTAGAAGGTTTCTTTGACGGTCGCGTGCGGCTTCAATATTTTTATGACACATATGCTATGATTAATGGGGTGTTTGGTGTATATACTGGGCTTGTGCGGTGTTGAGACGACAAATTGGATAGTATGTTGAAAATATCACCTGCTTATATCGACAGTACTAGAATTTCAAAATAAACTTGGAGTCTTGCCAGTGGAAGTACTATTATTTATTAGAATGGGTTCCAGTCGAGAGGTTCTGGCTCTGGTGTCACTGGCCTTGCTTCACAGGTTCGAGCAGGAAAGTATGATACGTATCAGCTATGTTGGTCATTGACCTTGACGAAGAGGAAACCATGGCTAGGATAGGTGCGAAGTAAGAAAGGTGTTTGGAAGCTGAGATCAGGTGGCGTGATGTCATGGGAGTTCACGATACCTAAGTAGTTCCATGTCAACTTGAATACAGCAAGGCCGCAAAGGCCTTGGGATTAAGGCCAATGTTCTATGATCCAGTATCGAGAGAGTTCCCCCACTGCATTACATACGCAATCTAAGTGAGAGATCTTCAGCACTTATAGAAGTTGGTCGTAACAAGATATTGAAAGCTAGTATAAACCTAGCTCCAAATCTAATCATATTTCACAGTTCGAAGCCAATGTTAAGAATAGGAAAAGCTTAAGAAAACAGGGACAAAAGAAGAAGACAAGAAAAAAAGCGCCCTCTAAAACAACAGGACAATTACAGCCAGAGATGGAAGCAAGATATCCCTTATATGGAGGGTAATCCGGGGTAGGGAAAAAATCTCCAATCACAGGCTGTCAATTTGCTCCTCAGACGACGCCTCCATCTCTGGCTTTGTTTTTCGCTGAAATCATATCTATCCATGGCTGGTGCGAGACACATACACACATTGACATTGACATTCGCAACTCTCACGCCTCCTTACCCACTCTCTTGTATAGTAGGACAAAGAGGGGAGGGGCAAGCATAAATAAAAAAGTGACATTGTAGGGTTGATGAAAGGGGGAGAGATGGCGGATTTAAAGGAGGTGGGATGTTCATATTCATGAGCGGCCGTAGCGTGTCTTGCCGAAGGAGAAAGGCACATAGCGATACTTGATCATATGCTGAATCTGGCGGCGCATAGTCAACACGAACAGAATGATCCAGTAGATCACCAGGACGGGCCAGAAGACGGGGATATCGAACATGGAGAACCAGCTGCACACGAAGCCGATGGCGATGGCGCGGGTGGCGGAATGCCAGAACTTGAACTCCGGCAGACGTCGAATGAAGGGACGGAACTCTTCGTCACGCTTGGTGGGGAGACTTGGGGAACCGGCGTCGCCGTCTTCCAGGCCTTCATCCTGGGTCAGGGAGGGGTCGAATTTGGGGGTGAGGAAGGCGAGGAAGAGGTTGAGGAGGTAGATTCCGAGGGTGTAGGCCACTATTTGGGAATTTGTTAGCGCTTGTTGTTCTGTTTATTTGTTTGGATTATTTCGCCGCATCGTCCGTTGCATTTCCGTTATTTCTTGAATATCCGGGTTGCTTTTTGGGGTGGAGATTGCTTGCAATTGAAGATTGGACTGGAGGAGACGACACGTACCGATGTACCATCCTTGCGCGAAGACGATGCGCAGGAAGAAGATGAAGAGCAGAACGCCGGAGCCGACCCAGCGATATGTGGTGTAGGGAGTCGAGGCATCGAGGTAGGCTTGATAGTGCTAGAACCAATGTGTCAGCATGAAACAGGCTGGTGGGACAAACCGATGCGCCGGTGCAAGGAATGGGAGGAACTGCGGCGGCCGGGGCCCCTCACGGAGAAAGCACTTACTCTGGTCAGTTTGGAGGTGTGGGCCGAAACAGCCGTGAAAGGCGACTCATTGGGCTCCGGGACATCCATGGTGAGAGGGTGGGAGGGGAAGGTGAGGGGGTGAGGGTGAGGATGAAGGAGAAAGAGTCGAGAGTCGAGAGTCGAGAGGATCCAGGCAGTCGCAGATCGCAGTGCTGAATGCAGTGGCTTGTTCTGGAAAACGAAACAGGAGCAAAGTGTCCCTTGGCCCTCCGCCAATCACATTGCAGATGACGCCCCCGGAAGGCACGTGATATGCACAGCCTCAATATGTCAGTTTACATAATCATCTGCTCCAGCCACATAGCACAGCCACAGCCACGATAGCCATTGAGGCTCGAGCGAAATGTTTGACTCGATCTCAGCATATTCACCATTATCCAAAATTCAAATAATGTATTTGGTTTCATAGTGTATGTAGTGGCTTCCGATTATCCAATTTTTCAAGATTTGAGTTGCTCGAGAGATCATATTGGGGAGGAGTAGAGTATTCGAAGTAAAGAGCAGGGTCATATATACTCAAGCGAAAATTCCTGCCAAACAAACAGAAGAGATTCATCGATTTGGCTCCTAAAAGCCCGACCAGGCCTTGCTTAAATTTCCTGGTCCCTCATTATTCGTAAGGCTCGTTTGTATAGATAACATCCACCACATGGTTTGCGTGTGTCAACCACGGCTCATGCAAGGTACCAACCTAATTCGATTGGCTGGAAGTAAACCGCATCTATACGCACCTCTTCTCTTACGCCGATCCTTCCATTCAGCAACGACAGAGTAAGTTCGCTAATCTTCTCTCTTTACCCTCTTCTTGTCTCTGAATGACATCTCGCTGCCAAGGTTGTGATTAAACACCAGCCTCTCCGAGGGGAAGGTGGGCTCCACTTTTGTTTTCCCTGAAATCTTGATTGAACCCCACGATTTAACTGGCCTTGTACTTAATTCTTCCGATGACCAGCGAGTGACCGAGGCGTGCGCTGTGGGGCCTTTTGGCACTATTGATTTCTTTGAGTCTAGATGGCACGCCAGCAGTTCGGCGCTAAGTATTGCCATGCTGAAGGTACTGAAATAACCTACTCTGCTCAATAACATGGGCTTTCCTAGCGAGCAAGGGAATAGGTCGTAAATATCAAGGATAGACAACCCCACTGCCAAGTGCCCTGTCAATTTACACTCATTTCAAATGTTATTCTGTCTTTGCCATTAACAACATGGGTCGGAGAGAAAACCTACTCCTTCTGTCTGCCCTGACAGCGCTGGCTTCTTTAGTCAACGCCACAGAGATTATCAGCAATAGCACCTTTACGACCATCTTCCCAGCCACTGCCGTCGTTACCTCTTCATCTGCCATCGCGACACATAAGGACGGGTCGCCGGCCATACTTGTCAGTATCAAACAAGGCTATAACCTAACCCGCCAGGTAAGAAAACCCCGTGCAGGATCCAAGGATAAGAGATCTATGCCTAGAAAGATTCATTGTTTGCTGGTATACGACGGGAGCGTAGTAGTTGCTGTCAAATAAGTTACCAAGCTGCAAGAAAAAAAATTGATTTACTCACATCATGTTAGCCCCTGTGAACTGTTGCATCACCATGATGAATATCGTTAGAACTGTGCGTCTTCCCTTTTGTAGTTTCCCCATGGTAAAAAGCTCTCGGTATCGGAAATGACCCTGCCCAGACTCCATTTCTATCGCAGTTTGGATCTCCAATAGAGTTCTCTGGACTTGCTCATGCTCATCCGGAAGGTCTTCGAGTGCACCAATAACCGATAGCGCTTCTTCAGAACGGCCTCGGGAAGCCAGCCACCGTGGTGATTCAGGAAGCCCAATAACTTGAATAACTAAGCAAAATGCAAATAGCCCTTGAAATGCCAAGGGAAATCGTCACTGGAAAGAGGTCGTATAAGTGCTAGTCCCATAGTCGAGCCAGTAAGCTTAAAGGAGTGTCAGTTCAGTCTCGAGAAGGCATCGTTGAATCTCTCACCGATACACATTCCGACAATACCGACAAGCGCTTGAATTGAAAGAATAGATCCGCGCTACTTCGCCGGTGCGCATTCACTGAGATATGCAGGTACTGTAGCGCAGCTGATCCCGTCCCCCCTAGATTAATTAGTCAATGCCTGTTTCTATATCATTCCAAGGTTGGTAGCTACAAGTCCGGTAACAACCCGGCCAGCGATGAGTTGACCAACGGTGGTTGCCGAGGCAAGAAGGATAGTTCCAAGTATCATAACACCACCGCCTAGCATGATCATTCTCCGTCGGCCAAATCCTTCAGTGATAAAAAAGCAGAACAAGCAGCCGACCACACAACCGACCTATAATGTATGAGATAAGAAACAGCGCATTTGAAGGCGAAGAAAATCTCAATGCGGAAAAGAACGAACATTGTATAATGACGTGATATTTCCCTGCATGTTCGCATCATGCTGATGGAAGTTCATTCCAAATCAATTTTCAGCGCCAACGATACCACTCATCACGCCTATCATGATCAGTCTTCGATAGAGAATTTCAAGTTGATATTGTGTTTGACAAACCTTGATCGTAACCAAACAGAAAAAAGCCTTGAGATGTACATGCTGCAGGAACAATATGTCAGTTGAGAAAAAGACCTCAGATGGGTAATTCTACCTGTGATTGCAGCAACAAGGAGCTTTCCTCGAAATTTATGTCTCCACATTTTATGCAATTACCTGTAGGTCTTGCTGTGGGAGACTCGGTAATATTCATGGATCCACGCTCATATATGCAAACTAAGCCTGGCGGCATATTGGCTTCCCCGCATTTCAAGCAAGGGTGAGACTGGGTGAATGATACCCCGATTGGCTTGGAAGGCAGGGCTCATCCCGAAAAAGTCGAATATTTTCCGCCGTTCGCTCGGCTATAGGCTTGCTGTTGCATTATGGCTCGGTGGGCAGCTCATTCTTAGTTGGAGCATTAATGCGATTTCCGAAATATACCAGTAGTAGTATGATTCGACACAAAAGTAGTTACTGAATCTGCTACTACAATAGCTACCAAGGTACTGTTTCACAGATCTTACTATATAGTCATCTGAAAACAGTGTTGTAATAGATCTCGAAACTATTAGGATTTGACCACTGAGAATAGTGAGATTTGTACTAGCTGTGATATGCAAGATACAATGTGGCGAGAAACTTGAACTAGAAATAATCTCAATCGAGTAACATATTTACTCGTGCGCTATGTCTATCAGTAGCCTTTGTTCTTGGACACAACATTCAGAAGTTCCCGACCTTCGTCCCAGCGTTCAAGATTGGCTTCCAATACCTGCAGGAAACGCTCACGGCTCCGGCTACTCACCCCACTTCTATGAAGGGTTAAAGTCACATTGGGGAGTGACCACAGCTCGTGTCCCTTTGGAAGAGGCTCCGGATCTGTTACGTCGAGCGCGGCAGCCCTCAAACCACCCTCCTGTACTGGGGTTTTCAATGCCGTTATGAGTGCATCCTGGTCAATGACTTGACCACGAGAGATATTCACAGAATAAGGGGCGAGCAAAGTCTTCAATATTCTCAAGGCAGAATTCCTGCACACAATGGCGCTCGCGGGGTGTCGCTCGTTGGCCGACATTTCCCGCTCATATATTGTACGTGTCTCTCCCAGGGCCTTGTCTTCCAAGCTGTAGTGAATATAGTAGTTGAATATATCAATATAAGATATAGCAACTCGAGGGGTTACAAACGATGAATCATCAACAATGCCTATACTGAGATAGAACAATGTATACTTATCGAAAGTGCGAATGGTCTTATATAGAAAGACTCGGGGCCCCCCTGATCGTTCATGTTGGTAAAATAGCCCATCTTCTAGTCAGAATTTTCTTCAGATGCTTGGAAAATGGACAAACCCTTCTGCCATCTCTCACATCTCTCACATCTCTCATTCTATACATCTTCAGCGAGAGTGGAGACCTGCTTACTCAGCCACATGGGCCTCGGGACGGTTAACTTCGGCCCTTTCTCGGTTGCGGGGAGCTTCATACATCATACATCATAGGCTCCGTTCAGCAATCTCTCCTTTCTACCCTGCCCGTCAATCCTACCTTAATCGTGATTGCTGTTTTCAATCGCTATGTTTGCTCGTCGCTGTGCCCGCTTGGCTACTTCTCGGACCGCCGTCCCTCTGAGCTCCTACCTGGCTCGCGTGCGCCCGTATTCCTCTGGCCCGAGCTATGAGCACATCCTCACCGAGACCCCGAAGCCCGGAGTTGGTCTCAGTAGGAGTTCCCGGCGCATGTTTCTACATACAGAATTACTGACTCGTGATAGTCACCCTGAACCGACCGAAGGCTCTGAACGCCCTGTCCAGCCCTCTCTTCAAGGAGCTTAACGATGCACTGAGCAAGTACGACAACGACAAGGACATCGGTGCAATCATCATCACCGGAAGTGAGAAGGCATTCGCTGGTATGCAACAAAGCTCCCGACAGTCTATTCGAGAAGCATTAACTCACACATCCTAGCCGGCGCCGACATCAAGGAAATGGCTCCCCTCAGCTTCGCCGCTGCCTACTCCGATAACTTCATCGCTCCCTGGTCCCACCTCGCCAACGCAATCCGCAAGCCCGTCATTGCAGCTGTCTCCGGCTATGCTCTTGGCGGCGGTTGCGAGCTGGCCCTGATGTGCGACATCCTTTACTGCACCGCGAACGCGACTTTCGGACAACCGGAGATCAAGCTGGGTACTATTCCCGGCGCGGGTGGCTCGCAGCGTCTTACCCGAGCTGTCGGCAAGAGCAAGGCGATGGAGCTTATTCTCACCGGTAAGAACTTCAGTGGCAAGGAAGCTGGTGAGTGGGGTGTCGCCGCCCAGGTGATCGACGGCGGGAAGGACGAGCTTCTAGCTACTGCTCTCAAGACCGCAGAGACCATTGCCGGCTACGGCCGTGTCTCTGTTATTGCTGGCAAAGAGGTCGTCAACAAGAGCCAAGAGTTGTCGCTTCGTGAGGGTGTCGAATATGAACGTCGTTTGTTCCACTCCTTGTTTGGAAGCAAGGACCAGAAGATCGGTACGTATCTATTCCTATTCGGCTTGGATCGTGACAATTGTTCTTCAAAGGGAAATTTTCTAACAGATTTCACAGGTATGACTGCTTTCGCAGAGAAGAAGAAGCCCGACTGGTCGAATGAGTAGAGGCTTAGTTACTCTCCATCTGAATTTTAAGCGCGATTTCACAACCAAACAATAAATATCTACAACATGAAAACTCCATAAAGATTTCTAGTATCTACCCGGCATAAATTTTACCGAGTTGTCTTGAATCCAGTAGTTTATGCATTCCTCCGAGTCCACAACCTCCTCGCAAACAAAAATTGAAGTTATAGTATAAACCCCCGTTGCTTCATACATCTAGACTCCAAATAAATAGAAAACCATAAGATAATTGAAAAGTAACCGAAATTATCTGCAATTCAAAATATTAAGCTTCTAAAAGAACTTACCATTGCCCTGGCAATTCGCTCGCATACTTCATCGGAGCCGCCCTCCTTCACCGCCCGCGACATCGCGCCTCCGATTCTCCGATTCCGTCCAATCTTCGGATCTGCAAGGGCACTGCAGAACCTCGGATCAAGCCATAACAGTGAGTCGTCCCCCGATTGTCGGTCAATTCGTGCCCGCGGAACCTCAGAGGGATTGTTACAAGCTTCCATTTCACCATTGCACCCATCAACCTGAATTACAGCCCCCGGCACAGTGCATCCAAGATCTTCAAGCAAAACTAACTAACCCATCAAACAGGTCTAATCCGGCGCGCACCCGGCGAGGAAGGCCAATTAAGCACCAATCCCACCTCCAGCCCAAATGACGTCGAGTTCCGCCTCAATCGCGTGGAGGACCAGCCTTCGGGCTCGCTCACTCCCCGCATCCCGCTGGTGCCAACGACCGGCCCTACAGCCGAACCGGGCCGATCGTGTGCCCAGCATCTTGCGATATGCGTCGGATTCGGCACCGGCCACCGAGGCCGTGAAGGAAGCTGCCAAGGATGCGGCGAAGGAGGCCCCGAAGGGGATTCCTAAGAAGGCTGCTCGTCGTTCTAGAAAGGGTCTTTACGGTACTTCGTTGGCTTTGGTGCTGTTGGCTGGATATATCTACGGAACTGATACAAGGGCTAGCGCCCACCGCTATGCGGTCGTTCCTCTTATTCGACTCGTTTATCCTGATGCTGAGGAGGCGCATCATGTTGGTGTTGATGCGTTGAAGCTGCTTTACCGTTTTGGTCTGCACCCGAGGGAACGTGGTGACCAGGATGGTGATGGGGCTTTGGCTACTGAGGTGGGAAATACTCATCTCATTAGACATGATCGATCGACGTGACATACTAACGCGAGATTTATCAGGTCTTCGGCTACAAGATCAACAACCCCATCGGTATCTCTGCCGGTCTGGACAAGCACGCCGACATCCCGGACGTCCTGTTCGACATTGGCTGTGGCATCGTTGAAGTCGGCGGTACCACCCCCCTCCCACAAGAGGGCAACCCCAAGCCGCGTGTCTTCCGTCTACCCTCTCAACACGCCATGATCAACCGCTACGGCCTCAACTCCCTCGGCGCAGACCACATGGCCGAAGTTCTGAAGCAGCGCGTGCAAGACTTCGCCTACTCCGCGGGACTCGGCGCGCACGAAGAATCCGAGCAGCACGTCCTTGACGGCGAAGCAAACGTTCCTCCGGGCAGTCTTATTCCCGGCAAACTCCTCGCCGTACAGGTTGCTAAGAACAAGCTCACGCCGGATGGCGATATCGACGCTATCGCACGCGACTACGTCTACTGCGTCGACCGCGTGGCCAAATACGCCGATATCCTCGTCGTGAACGTCTCCAGCCCCAACACCCCCGGCCTGCGTGACCTACAAGCCGCCGCCCCGCTAACAGCCATTCTGACCGCCGTTGTGGGCGCAGCCAAGGCCGTCGACCGTAAGACCAAGCCCCGTGTCATGGTCAAGGTTAGTCCGGATGAAGACTCGAACGAGCAGGTCTCCGGTATCTGTGAGGCGGTTTGGAACTCTGGCGTTGACGGTGTGATCGTCGGCAACACGACTAACCGCCGGCCCGACCCGCAGCCCAAGGGCTTCGCTCTACCGGAGAAGGAGGCGAGCACTCTCAAGGAGACCGGTGGTTATTCTGGTCCGCAGCTCTTTGACCGCTCTATTCCTCTGATTGCCCGTTACCGCGCCATGTTGGACCAGGGTCCCCCGTCTCAGGCTGAGTCTTCCGAGGAAGGTTCGGCACCTGCTGTTGCTGACCAGCTCGCTCGTAAGGTGATATTCGCTTCTGGTGGTATCACTAATGGTCGCGAGGCTCGTCAGGCTCTTGAGGCTGGTGCTTCGGTCGCTATGATGTATACTGGTGTTGTTTATGGTGGTATTGGAACGGTGACGCGGGTGAAGCAGGAGCTGCGTGAGGAGCTGCAGAAGAAATGAAGCGGTGTGGTGGGAGCTGCAAGCTCAAGTTCTTTTGGAAAAAATGGAGAGCCTCAGGCAATAGATTGGATGATTTACAGTAGTTTTGTACATAGCATATGGTAGGAATATTCAGCATTTCATGAGTAACTTGATGTATTATTTTTGCTCCCTATATTACTACTGTAGTATTTTTATTGTCATGGTGAATTGATATTACACGCACGCTTCTGATTCATGCAATGAACAATTCGAGAATATTCGCTCCGGTTAGTTTAGCTCTATTTCGAAAAGATAGGTTCCATCGTGACGGCACTCTATTTGGTGGGCGCATTTTGTCGACCGATACCCGAGCTCGGCACGAGGCGCGGAGAGAAGCCGGTCGATGGCAACAACTTCTCCGATGTCCGAGTCCGAGTCCAGGGCCAATTCTTGCCTACTCAGGCAAAGCCGTAGAAAGCACACAGATCGCCAATCGCTGTGCTCGGGTTACTCGATCAGAACAATGGGGAAGGAAAGAAATGGAGTCGAGTCCACAGTGGACTCTTGCCCCTCAGTCTATGACATTCCAACCACATCATTGACACACAGCAAATGATGAAAAAAGGCACTTGAATTGAAGGGTGAGGGCGGCTGAAAAACAAAAAAAAGTCATAGACAACCATCGGAGCAACCCCGATCTAAAAATGGATACTCGTAGGCATAGAGTGCTCTTAAGAACTAAATCTCTGATTGACCGCGTGACAGGAGCGGGGCACATCAAAAAATGAAATGTCGTGGGGGAAACCCGCGTCGCGAGGTCGATGGATGTGGATCAAATATCCAACCCACTTTTCTCCAGTCGGTTTCTCCATGACTCCATTGTGGTGCATGGATCTGGTGGAGAAGTGGGATCCATCGACAACGGGATCCCCCAGATAGGCTTCCCGGGAGCTGCTCAGCTTCGACAGGGTTTGGGTCTGCTTTGCTCGGAGATGCAGCGACAGCCCCTCCGACCCACAAATGAGGCCAAATAGACCCAATTGCTTTGCTGGATGCAGGCTCAGAAAGCTCGTGTCCCCCTGTTTAGACCCATTCCGTGGGGTTTAGGAGCTGGTTTCTAAACTGGTACGTTGTTGGTTGTTGTGTGGTATAACGGTGACGGTATAGTGTATGATGCGAAACCACAATACCGATGGTCAGGCCAGGCCAGGCCAGACCGGATCATGTTGGTAGAGTAGAGGTGTGAGATGCAATGGTACTGTAGTCATTGTTTCGTGATATCTTCATGAGGAATGGAACGGAATGGAATGGCCGAAGCTACCGATCGGTAAATGGTTTTTGTCACTTAGGCGTGGCAATGGCAATGGCTTAGACCGCAACACCCAGACTCTCCTCCACCTCACGGACAACCTTGCGCACACCGCCAATCTCATGCGCAAATCGACCCAGGAACATTCCATCAACAGCCTTGCCCAGTCCGCCCTCGCCCCAGAGTCCAGGACCAGCGCTGCCGCCGTACAGAACCCGCGCAGTACCGGGTCGCGACCCAATCACCCCGCGAATGCCCTCCACGACCGCAGCAACGTGATCGACACCAGCAGGCTTGGGCTGTCCAATAGCCCACACAGGCTCGTAGGCAAAGATCACGGGTGCATCAGCGGGGATGGCATTCAGCACCGCGTTCACAAGAACAGCACACTCGGAGACAGCCTGGCCGACAGCTTGAGACGCCACCGCGCCCGGGGCAGTCAATTCACCGATACAGACGAGGGGTACCATACCCTGTGCACTGGTGGCGGCAGCCTTGCGTGCAGTCTGTTCATCTGTCTCGCCGAAGATAGCGCGACGCTCGGCATGGCCTAGCTCGACGATTGAGCAGCCCAGAGAGCGGATGGAGGCTGGGGAGACTTCTCCGGTGTAGGCGCCGGATTCCTCCCACATGCAGTCCTGAGCGCCGAGGAGGAATGGAGGTGGTGAGACGGAGGTTCCAGAAGCTGAAAGCTTACTCTCGTATTCTCTGATTATGTCGGCGCAGGGCCAGATGGTGAGGAAGTCTGGGATCAGGGCGAGGAGGAGCTTCGAGCGGTTCTCCGGCCGCACGATTTCATTGGCGGGGTCTAGGAGGCCGCGGACGTAGTCGAGGGTGCGCTGGGGGGTAAAGTACATCTTGAGGGAGATGAGGAGAAGCTTCTCCGGTAGCACGGGGTAGGTAGTTAGTGCCATGATGTAGGTGTGTGTATGTGTGTGGAATGTAGTGAGAGTAGAAAGAGTAGGGGAGCAGATTCAAAAGATTCAATACAGAGTGGAGTTTCCCCCGGACTCGGGCAGGACAACAGTGGGTCGGTGCGTGAATGTCCCCCTCAATTCGGAACTTGAACTTTGACGGAGAAGAGAACAAGTGTCCTTGGGAACTTTAGAATACGGGAGGGTTGTGAAAGTTGAGATGTTTTTTTTTTCTCTTGGTTTCCCGAGTATTTCTGTGGAGGGAGGAGGCGTCAGCGCCCATCCCGCACACGCATTAGCGGCCGACTGGCTGCACTCAAGACGAGGACCGTTCCCTGCTTACCAGGATGGATCAGATCGAGTGATGTCACGGTGTTTTGAGGCTAAAGTGAAATCATGAGATGAACGGGACACTGTGGAGACTGGGCTAGACGTTGGTGCGGGCTTGGAGTACTATGTATGGAGTGGATAGGAACCCGAAGTATACTGTAGAAGGGGTTGATAGAAACAAGACAGACGAGAAGTAATACTTGGAAGATTAGGAAGGGTTACGTATGTACCAGCCAGCAAATAGGCGCAGTGGGGAATGGGGAATGGGGAATGGGAATTGCCTAGGTAAAAATAAAACCGGTTACGGGAAAAGCTGAGGATATTCGCGCATACTCGTACATCTGGCCTGGCCAGACCCAACGTTACCTGGGGAGTGCATACACTCCAGGGCTTGACACTCGATCTACATACACATTCACCCACCTGCATAGCCTCGCCCATGGTTCCTCCGGAGTACATACGACCGTGCAATTCACAGAAGGTAAGTATGTAAGTTTCGAAACCTACTCGTACTCTAGCGGGATACTCGAGCCAACGTTCGGTGGAGTCGCCAGAACAGTGGGGGATGAGCGATGCAGGTGAAATGGCCGGAGCCGATGGAAATGGAGACTGATGTACAAATGGGCTGGCTTCCAGGGGTGGAACTTACATCATTTACTCCGTAAAGAGGATCTACTAGTTGGATATTCTATATTTCATACTGTATTCAGAACCATATCATCAAAGTATACAGAGGGGATATGCCCTGTTACTATCCAGGGCCTCAGGGGCCGGGACCATGTCGGCTTGGTTGCCTAAACACAATTCCCTCAAGGCAAGTCAAGCGTAACCGGATGGCTTCATCCCGACCCTACCCTTGACCCTTGACTCTAGACCCCTCTTTGTCTTTGGCTTTGCTCGGCGTGTCGCACGGTCCTAGCGCCTCGGAGTCAATGCCTGGTCAATGCCCTCGCTCACCGATGAGGGCTGCAGCTGGTGGCTTTGGTGACATCGATGGCTGTTCTTCAGATCGAAGTAATTCTAATTCATATCGATTTTCAGCTGCTAGTTATCAATGTTCACATTCATCTTCACATTCATGTTCATGGCTGCCCGGGTGTTCGGTAATACGAGGTACCGCCTCGTGTATAGTATAGTAACCAGCAGTAACCAAGAGTAACCAGGAGTACCTCACCATCCGGTTTTGGGCGGCTGCCACTCTCCCCGCCCACTCACATCTCCTCATTCCCCAGCCATGACGCTATGGCGGGGCATACTGCCTTCCCCCCACCTCCGACAAGATTGTATCAAGGTTGCCCATCATTCGTGCCAATGCATGGTGGAACTAGAACCCAAGATGGTCCTTCCCAAATGCAAGGATTGGCTCCATCAACCCGTCTCCACCACCCGGGGAAATGCGTTGCACGGCAAGCGATGAGACTCCCCCAAATATAAAAGGGCCCCTGGATGGCCCTGGCTTCGTGGAAGGCGAAATCCAACCATTCAATTGTTCCCCTATCATCTCCAAGATCCAACCCGATCCTTCATCCATCCACCCATCCACCTATCTATACTCTACCATAATGTCTGCTCCTCCCCTCCGTATCGTCATGGCCTGCGACGAGGCCGGTGTCCCATACAAGGACGCCATCAAGGCCGTCCTCGAAAAGAGCCCCCTCGTCGCCTCCATTTCCGACGTCGGCGTCAACTCCTCCTCCGATAAGACCGCCTACCCTCACCCCGCCGTCGAGGGCGCCCTGCAGATCAAGGCCGGCAAGGCTGACCGCGGCCTCTTCATCTGCGGCACTGGTCTCGGCGTCGCCATCGCTGCCAACAAGGTTCCCGGCATCCGGGCCGTTACTGCCCACGACCCTTTCTCCGTGGAGCGCTCCATCCTGAGCAACGACGCCCAGGTCCTCTGCATGGGCCAGCGCGTCATTGGCGTCGAGCTTGCTAAGAAGCTCGCTCTCGACTGGCTCAACTACCGCTTCGACCCTTCCAGCGCCTCTGCTGCTAAGGTCCAAGCTATCTCCGACTACGAAACTAAGTTCGCTGGCTCTGCTTAGATGCAATTGCGCCAGCTATGGGGCTTCGCGATTTCACCTCGGCTTTGCGGGTCTCGAAATTGTCTAGCCTTGTGCATTGGTTTCTTTCTGGAGATTGGTAGTGATCGTAATTCGGTCGCTTCACTCTTTTGATTTGCGATGGGTGTACCTGCGCAACTCACTTTACATACCTTGTTTTCATATCAAGCGCTTCATGATACCACGAATCGATTGTCGAGTTCTGCTGTTTGATTTGTTTTGGTCGGTAGATCTAGATTCACAATACAGTATGATTCGAAAGTTAAACTTATCTTCTTCTATTCTATAGACTAAATTTAAATCATTTGTCAACTGTACGTGGCAGCAAATAAATACTAGAACGCGGCAAATTGAAGTCTGCGGGGGACTGCGGGGCAGTGGGGTTGAGCAGCGTACTAGATAACTAACACCCGGGGTTAGTGG